TTTTCTGAACACCTGATGACAGCTTCCATTACAGCTAACTTTAAAGTAAGTACATGCAGCTAGCACCATACCTTGTCATTTTTTTGTAGCATTGTGATTTCCATACTAGCATCAACCTCAGTAGTTCCCCACGTCAGTACAGGCTCTCTGATACTTGAAGTAGCCCCATAAAACTTTACAGAAAAGCGAGGAAAGATTTGAATTCCTTCTGCTAACATGAAGACAAATCAACAAATGCATTACACTAGAAATTAGGCTGCCAACAATAGTCTTTCATCTACTGGCAATCACAAATGCACAGGAAGCAGATGAGTATCTAAGACACTCCACCAAGTCTGAATAAGAGAGACTACTACTTATTTTTAAGTTAAAGTCAAGCAAACTAACTAGATGAAAAACAAACAAAAAATTACAGAAGAACACTGCCCATAACTACTTCACATTGGAGCCCTGGAAAAAAGTTAGACCACACAAACCCTTGTAGCAAGTGGACAGATCAATACAATGGGAAAGCAATGGGAAAGGCACTACAGCAGAAACACGATGGAAGGACCAGCACAATGTAAAGGTATGATAAAGGAAGAAGATCGCTTACCTGTAACAGAAGATCACAGCTTCACAGGAGAAAGCTTCAGCAAGGAGAAATCTCCAGAAAGAGACCCTTCCCCAGTGCCAGTCAGCCCTTAAATGAGGTCTAAGAGAGGTGCAGCCAGGCTCCACCCCTTCTGGTCTCACAGCTGAATTGCCTTCACCTGTGCTCCCAGAGCTGACCCCTTCCTTTCCCCAGGTGCTCAATCAGTGGTTCAGGCCATGACCCAACAGTTACCATACAGTCCTGAAAAACACAGATAACCAACAGACAACTAAAGTGTTGGCAACATGACCATAAGTAATGGCAAAGAGTGAGTTCCACAAACACAGTGAAAGCTAGAGACACAGACCTGATGTTCCAAGCAGGAAGAGACTTCCATCCTTTAATCCCAAGAGATTCAGAAAATCAGTCTTGCTATTCTCTTTTTCCTAATTAAGATTGACTACATGAAATGCACGTCAAATTCAGTGACTGACTTTTCCCTTGGCAAAAATAAATGAAAGCCTGTCCTAATTTTGTAGGCACAACAGAAAATTATTATTTGAATAATGGAAACAATAATATCAGTTCTAATTCCATGAAAGAAATCAGATAAAATTATATCCTGAAATGAGAAATCAAATAAATTCTAAATATTTTATTTTACCTGTAATGCAATGCAAGATTTTTAATGCAATGCAAGTTTTTTTGCCTTTCAACAAGAAATGATGTTTCTTCCAGTAACACAAACAAGATGAGATGATAGCTACTGGTATAGAAATTCTATGTCACTGTGAAAATGCAGCTGACATAACAGCACATGCAAAAATAATGATTCAGTCACATGTAAGAACCGTAAAGAGAAATCATACAAAATCAGGGCTAGAAGGTCAATTACATTCATTGTCAAAATCAGATGCAGGGAAGCCAAGCAAGGGAAAGTGGAAAATCAGAAGGTATCACGTTGATCCACGTTCAAGTGACATTGCATCTTTTGTTTCTCCTGCAGGCAGGCAGATCTCACTGTGATGGGGTGATACACAAACATCTTATGGCTGTGCAGAGATGAACACCAAGTTTTCAACAATGGGCACTATCAATATGTGCCACTGATAATCACTCTCCCCTAACAGTAAACTGATCATTTGTGGAGGAATACTAATTGTGAAGATCTCTACTTTTCATTAGTCAAAGCAAGGAAAAAATAGCTTGAACACATTTGCACGATGCCCAATGGATTTTTTTTACTCCTTAGATGACAAGATGTATACAATTTTTGTATAAGGAAGTCTCTGCACTGATCTGTGACTCCTGAGGTAGAGGCTACCCACCCTCCCTCATTACATGCACTCACCAGCATGGTGCTCAGCAGCCTGATGTCAGTTAATTAAAAAAAGGGAGTCACAGCTGCTGGTTTCAAATCACAACTGCAGCTCCACATTAAGCTGCCCAGTTTTAAAGGTGGCAACACAAAGCTGGAACGAACAGATCATAAAATGCCTTGCTGAATGTGCAGCTGACCGTGCCACGTCAAGCAGCAAAGCTAGTTCGATGCAAACAGAGGTAAGATCAAGCGTCTACTTTCTAACAAGCACTCCTCACACATTAGACTTCACAGTGACACATCAAAGCTCCAGGAGCAGAAACATCCTAAAGCCTTACGCAGTTTGAGCCAGACACACCCATAGGAAAGGAAGGAGGGATGGTGAAAGCCTACAAGTAGGAGAGCCGGTTTTTACTGGTAAGCACAGCAGGAAACGCTTTTATGAACAGATAAAGCCAGCCTATGTTCCTATGCACTCTCCAGTGTAGCTTTGACACGTTCCCCAGTTAGATAAGAAAGGAATTGGGGCACGTGGGGAGAGAGCATTTTTGTTGCATTGTGCTGCTCCCAATGGGCTCAGGAGCCGATCGTCAGAGATTGACAGCCCTTCCTGGCTGATGCCATTAACCCATCAGCTAACGAAGCGGACAGGACTCTAAAACCCTGCAAACTTTCGCGTTCTATACAGCGCGGGGCTTAGTTGCTGTGAAAGAGCCGGAAACCAAAAAGCAAACATTTCAAAGACACTTGAAGCTCTCGCTGTTTATCGGACATTAAAAACTACAGTGAAAAAGTTCTGAACGGAGACAGTCACACGTTTGTTATTTATGATGGGGGCAAGAGAAGGGAAACGGGAGCGCCAGAGGAGCCTCGTCTCCAGACCGCCGAGTACGAGCGCGCAAGGCGGACCCCGCCGACACGGCGCAGCTCCGAGGCTGCCCTCCGGCCACACCGCCCGCCAGCACGGCTCTCGCTCTGACAGACAGGAGTTAACAGCAGCGCCAGCCAATGAGAGAGCGGACGGGCACGGAGGCGGAGCGTGCGAGGACCCAATGGAAGAACTGCCCGGCCTCGAGAGGGTGGGAACAAAGTTAAGCTGCAGTCACCGGCGGCGTGCTCTACCCCAATCGGAGCGTGGGCCCCGATCGCTCTGTCCGGATTGGTTAACGGATGGCAGGCGGGCCTTAGCACTTTCTTTCACCCAATGGGAAGGCGGCGGAGCGTGACAGGCGTTCCGATTAGCCAATTATCGTCGGCTCGGTCTCGTACCCCTCTCTCTTCGCAAAATGGCGGCTCCGGCTCCAGCTGCGGCTGCGGCTCCTCCCGCGGCCGCCCCGGCTCCCAGCCCGACCGCCGCTCCCGCTACGCCGACGGCGGGCGCGCCCCCCTCCGCCGCGCCCCCTCCGCCCGCCGCCCCGGCGGCACCGCCACCCGCCGCGCCGCTGTCCGCCGCGCTCTCGGGTCCCTTCCCCGGCGGCCGCGTGGTGCGGCTGCACCCGGTCGTGCTCGCCTCCATCGTGGACAGCTTCGAGCGGCGCAACGAGGGCGCGGCGCGGGTCATCGGGACGCTGCTGGGTAAGAGCCGCGGAGCCGGGGGCGGGCGGCACGCCGCCCCCACGCCGCCCCGCTAACCGCTGTCGTCCCCGCAGGCACCGTGGACAAGCACTCGGTGGAGGTCACCAACTGCTTCTCCGTCCCGCACAACGAGTCCGAGGATGAGGTACGGCCACGCGGCCACGCGGCCGGGGCTCTGGAGGGGGCTGGGGGCTGTCGGCTGTCCCGGCGGCGCTTCGTCCCGCGCTGCCCTCCGCCCGGGTGTCGGCGCTCCTGCACCGGCTGACTCGGCTCTGTCCCCTTTGCCAGGTGGCTGTTGATATGGAGTTTGCCAAAAACATGTACGAGCTGCACAAAAAGGTGTCTCCCAGCGAGATCATCTTGGGCTGGTAAGTTCTCCGTCCACAAAGAAGTGCGGGCAGTTGTGTAGGTCCCTCAGAATACCTGAAGTGTATCACTGTTGTCACAGGCTGAGAAACAGAAGCAGCAGTGAGCTCTAGCAACTCTTGTTGCAGTTCTGAAAGTGCTGTCATTCAGGGTAGGAAGAGATGCTACTGCAGACTTAGAGCAGTTTTGGTTAGTCTAGAAGAGCTATCACACACAAGAAGGTTAGGAAATGCTTGCATGGATCTATCTGTTTGAATGTAGCCAGTGGTGATACAATCTGTAAGATAACTGATGGGAAGGAGAGCACAAAAGAACCAGAGGCCTGGTGGGAAATCAGTCTTGTTAGCTTGAGCACGCAGGTATTCTCTGAGGAAAGGTGGAAGTACTTGTGCTGGGGTGTTATAGGGAAAGAACTCGTCTGTGTACGGATAGCTGGCTTTGTTTGTCTTTTGGCATCCTCTCCGGCTCTTTTCTGTGGAACAAAATCCTGTAAGTGCAGAACTCTTGGCTTCCTTAACAACCTCCAGTGGCATAGCAAAGTGCAGTTCTCATGACTTTCTCGCTTTCCTGTGCATGCAGGAAGTTAATTGCATAGCAATTGAAGGAGCTAGATGAACAAGCCCTGCCTCCTGCACAGAGGTGTTTCATTTGTTTAAGATCTACTTTGCTGGTCCAAATTTGCTTGGCGTGCTTTGATTTACAAGGAAATAAAGATTTGGTCCAGAGCATAGTGACAAAAAACTGACTGTTGGGTGTCTGGCAACTGTTATCGTTCTTTGTGACAGTAATACAACACTGACCCTATGCATGGGCCAATTTTGGGCATGTGTGTCCTCAGCCCATAATTCTAGGAGATCCATAAGACTACACATGCCCCACTTGAAATACTAGTCTTTACTATGCGTCTGCAGCTCAGTTCTTGGACTTTAGGGTTTTATAATACAACCCTGTTAAATACCAACAAATGCTGGGCATTTGAACATTAGAAGAATGATCTTTCAACGTTTGCTTTATTCAAGGTATGCAACAGGTCACGACATCACAGAACATTCTGTCCTGATCCACGAGTACTACAGCCGGGAGGCACACAATCCAATCCACCTCACTGTGGACACAAGTCTCCAGAATTCACGCATGAGTATTAAAGCCTATGTCAGGTACTCTGGGACAGGGACTGTCTGAGTTACTAACAGACATCGTATCAGGATAACAAGGAACGTAGCAGGCTATAGTGTCCCATTTTGGACAGTATTGTGTGATATCTGAACCACATCTGTGAGCCAGAGATCAGAGCATTCTTCCTACCAGAATGTTTTGACCATTGGCACATAAGTTGAAAGCCTTAACCTTCCATAAGCTGGTTTCTCACTGGGGGTGAGGAACTGGCTTAATTAACCTCAACAGTGTTCAGAAGATCTTTGCAATGCTTCACAGGAATAGCATAGCTAGCATCAATGTTATACTAACTTCCATCATACTGTCTGAATGCTAGTCTTTACTCACTGCATCTTAGTGCTCAGCAATTTACTTATACAGGTCATACTATTAGCACACTCAGAACATAATTGAAAGAGTGACTTCTAGGTCAGTCTTTCTTCCCCTCCTCCACTTCCATTTTTATTAATTGATAACGGAGATAAAATATAGAGAAATGAAACTGTTCTGCTTCACCTCACTGTTCTTTCCAGTGGTTGCTGAAGAGTTCTCCTCCTTCCAGGATGAAGCCCCAGTCTTTGTAGCAGAAATCATACTGCTTCCTGACCGTGCATCTTCAAAACGGAAACTGTTCTGCGACATCTTGTATGCTGGAAGCATAAATGAACTTCAGATAGAATCATTTAATTTACAGAGGACCTTTAAAGGTCATCAAGTCCAGCTCCCCTGTAATGAACAGTGGCACCTGCAGCTTGATCATGTTGCTCAGAGCCCTGTCCAGCCTGACCTTGAATGTCTCCAGGGGTGGAACATCCACCACCTCTGTGGGCAATCTGTGCCAGTGCCTCACCACCCTTATTTTAAAAAACATTGTCTTTTTGTCCAGTCTAAATCTTCCCTCCTTTAGTTTGAAACCATTTCCCCTGGTCCTGTCACAACAGACTCTGCTAAAGAATCTGCCCCCTTCCTTCATATAGCTCCCCTTTACATATTGAAAGGCTGCTCTCAGAGCCTTCCCTTCTTCAGGCTGAACAGCCCCAGCTCTCTCAGCCTGTCCTTGCAGGAGAGGTGTTTCATCCCTTGGATCATTTTTGTGGCCCTCCTCTGGATGCATTCTAATAGGTCCGTGTCCATCCTGAGGACTCTACATTTGGATGCAGGACTCCAGGTGAGGCCTCACCAGAGCAGAGGGGCAGGATCACCTCCCTCTCCCTGCTGGCCACACTTCTTTTGATGCAGCCCAGGATACAGTTGGCTCTCTGGGCTGTGAGGCACATTGCTGGCTCATGTCCAGCTTACCATCCGCCAGTTCCCACAGGTCCTTTTTGGCAGGGCTGTGCTCCATCCTTACATTTCCCAGGTTATACTGATAGCAGGGGTTGTCACGACCTGGGTGTAAGACTTTGCACTTATTAAACCACATGAAGTTTACCTGGGCCCACTGTTTGAGCCTGTCTATCTATGAATGGCATTCCATCTCTCAGGCATGTCAGCCACACCAAGAAGACAGTACTCAACTCATCCTGCACTCATACTGATAAATGTCAGACCAGCTAGGAATATTTTTGGATGAAAATTTACAGTTAATAATATGCCTGTATTGATTTCCTGTCCTCAGTTATATATGGTCTTAATATTGCTGATTTTAGTGAGAATGAGTAATCTACTCATATTCACACTCTAGTGCTAATAGAGATCATTGAGATGGAAAGAAATTATTTATTTCCTTTCAGATATGTCCATGCTGAATTTATGTATTGTTTTCCTAGTGCCCCAATGGGAGTCCCTGGTAAAACTATGGGCGTGATGTTCACACCACTGACAGTGAAGTATGTTTATTACGACACAGAGCGGATAGGAGGTGAATGCTTTCTTCCTATTATGGTTCTAACTATTGTTGTGACACTGTTCAAATGCTGTTTATTACTCCTGGTAAAATTACCACTCTGTGGGGAACTATACTGTCTCACTGAACCCGATGCTATCCTAAAAAGTCTCAATAAGTTAAAGTTTTAAGCTGCTTTCTGTGTCAGTCAAATTTCTCAGTGATCCTGGTTTTGCTTTCAGTGGATCTCATCATGAAGACCTGCTTTAGCCCTAATCGAGTGATTGGCTTGTCCAGTGACTTACAGCAGGTGGGGTCAGCCTCAGCCAGGATTCAGGACACCTTGGGTATGGTGCTACAGTATGCAGAGGATGTATTGGTAAGGCAAACTTTTTGAGACTGAAGTTTGATATAAGATTATGCATCTTGTTTTTATGGTTTTTTTTTTCTTTTTTTCTGAGTTTTACTCATGCTGAAGTGTGTTTCTTATGAATAGTCTGGAAAAGTGGCTGCTGACAACACCGTTGGGCGTTTCCTGATGGATCTCATTAACCAGGTGCCAAAGATTTCACCAGAGGACTTTGAAACAATGTTGAACAGCAATATTAATGTAAGTTAATTGTCTTATTTCTAAGTGTATTACCAGCAGTTTTGAAAATGCCATACAGACACAATTTTGTTTATGAACAAAACTACCTTTTCATACCAACGCGGTCATAAAAAATACAGCCCTTTCTTGTCTCTAATTTTATGTTTTAAATGCTGAAGGTGGATAAGAGACCTCACCGTAATTAAAAGCAACAGAAAATGAGAGAATTACTTTAAAAGCACATATGAATTACGCAAGTAATCTGAAAGGCAGCACAGATTCTTCTTTTAGAGTGCTGGAAAATATCAATTATCAAACTTCATGCAGTATAGGTTTTAAGGAATAACTGGTGACTTTCCCTACTTTCTTTGCTTGACATGAAGTTCAGTCTCATGGCAAAACACTTAAGAGCACAAATGAGGTTTGAGTTTGATTGTGCTACCTTATTTCTGTAACAAATTTTTAGAAAGCTAAGTTTCTGAATCTGTTATTTGCCCTGTTATTTGTCTGCAGGACCACAACTAATTTTTAATTTTGCTTACACCCTTTGACTCTCCTGGTTAATACTGGTGAACTCAAAGTTAAAATTTCACAAGTGCTGTTTCATGTTCCAGGAATACCAAGGCTTTCTTCCTGTGAGGGAAGCATTCCTCAGGGTAGGACTTTCAGGACTAGCAATAGTTCCAGTAGCTGATTGTAAAATGCTTCACAGGCGTTAAAAATTCACATCTCCACAACAGGCTGTCATCTTTGTTAATATTTCTGATGACTGGTTTTTTTTTCTTTTTTTCTCTCAGGACCTTCTGATGGTAACCTACTTGGCAAACCTCACACAGTCACAGATTGCTCTCAATGAAAAACTTCTGAGTTTATAAAGAAACTTCTGCCACCCTACACTTCAAAGAGCCCCAAGAGTGAGCAGATACACACTTTCATGGCGATGTTACAAATTCCCGTGGACCTTAACTTAATTACCTAAACAATTTGGTTTACATCTTCATTTCTACTTCCCTGGAAATTCCCTAACATGGTTTAGGAAATGAATAGGAACTCCTGCAGTTTGGATGAGCCCAGTATTTTAAAATGGAATAAGTGAATCTTTTGTCTTCTGGGTTTATCTGCTTGTGTAATAAAATACAGCTTTAATGTAAGAAATTATTTGAAATAAAGTTCAATTGTATTGGCAAGAATACCTTCTGTTCAGAAGAAGACTGCTCTCATTTATTGTATAATGAATCCTCCTTTGAAAGAATCAGGAAAGAAAACTAGAGTGGATGCAAGTAATCTCAAATTTGGCACCTTTCTTTGCATTTTTCCCCAAAGTTTTAAAGCACACAGATCACGGCACCTTGCATTGCACACAGTACACTTTTCCATGGGGGAACTACAGAATGGCCACTGACCTAAAACTGATGCTGTGTGCATGGTCTTCTCTGATGGGATGTGAGGCAGCAAACTCCATTTACATTGTGGTATTAGTTCTGTGCATATCTGATCCTTTGGGAAAGGAAATAGAATGGAATTACCCCATTATAAAGAAGGGGTTCAGAGTATTAAACTAGCAACTAAATACGTGGTTGAAAGGGCTTGAAAAGCATTCCTCCTGAAGTTTTCATGTTTGCAAAAGAAGAAAGGTTTCGGTGAATTTTTGAGATTAAAATGTAGATATTGTCAAATAGGGATTTTCTGTTTCATAATGAATTTCAGCTGAAGGAAAGCCAGTTCAAATTGCAACTTTCTACAGTCTCAGCTAGTAATAATTCCTTTGGAAATCTGTTCAGCTGTACTGAGGTTTTCCCTAATGCTAGCAGTATCACTCCTCTTCTACACCATTCACGCTTATGTTCTAACGACCATTTCTGACACTTTCACACACATCTGTTTCAGTAAATGAACTGAAAATGTCATAGAGAGGCCAGCAAAACCAGCATTTCTCTCAAATACCTTTGTGCAAAATTTGCCAGATAATTTCATTCAAGAATGAGAGACAGCTCACATCTCTTTACATCCTGTACTCGTGGTTCCAATGCGGGGAATTCCATGAGCCGTTCAGCACTAAATTCCAAGTTCTGATCACAAGGGCAAGGTGCATAAAAACTGAAGGCACAGCAATGACTTCATTTCTGAAAGTTATTTGTGAGCATTAAACGTGTTTATGCTCAGCTCCTTTTTGTTAGTCTAATGCTTTGTCACCCCTTCTTTAAACTCAATATTTGAGCTTCAGCTGATTAACTTACATTTTCAGGTCGTGTTCTTTTTAAAATAAGCCTTGAAATAGGTGGAGGAAAAGAGTGAGCAGCAAAGCTAGATGAGCCTTTCTCAACTACTGCAATAAGCAGAGGGAAGAAAATCACAATATTCTTCTCCTCATTTCTTCATTTCATAATAAATTCTTGCTAATCTCAGGAAATTAATATGTGAGAAGAAAGATCTAATGTAGAAAGATTAAAAGTTTAATAGTTTAGGAAGCTGCTTTGCACAAAATGCAAAGTTTGAGAACATCAATTTGTGATCATGATTACAGAAAATGTATTGTGCAGTTTATCAGTCCTTATAAACACCTGAAGACTAACAATGAAGCACTGTGACTAAGGGAGGTTTTATGCTTTCCTGAGCAAAAAGATGTACTGCAAAGTAGAGGTATCACAAAAGCCCACAGTTGATAGGCTGACTTGTATGGTGGACAGTACAGTAACAAACAGAACAAATTGGAATGGAAAAACAAAGGCTGCCCTCGAGAACTGTATGTTTGATTCCATTCATCTGGTACTGGGTGTATGGTACATTGTAAACCTTGCTCTGACACAAGAATTTTCAAGTTTCCATGGCCACCCTTGTGAAGGACAATGTTGCAAGCAAATTGTAGCATAGTGTATCATTTTGCTTGGCTAAAAAGTAAAGCCTAGGTAAAGCCTAGGCTGTGTCATTATTAGGAGGCTGAAAAAAGAGCCATTTGGAGTTTGAAAATCTAGACAGGAAATCCTAAAGGTCTTCTATTGATCCACTTCATGGGATCTCATATCTAAAAACTTGAAATTGCTTAGGAAAGCTTGGGAGTCGAGAAACATCACCAAGGATTTCAAGCTCTAATTTGCTGTTATTTGTACATCACTGAGATCTTGGATCTATTAAGGGACTTTTTCCTTTTTTGTTTGTTTGTTTAGGGCTCAATACTCCAAACAGCTTTGGCAAAGTCTAGCTTTTAAGAGTCTGAATTAATCATTTTTAAAATAGTCCAGATAGTTCTCCAGGTATGCTTCTATATACAGCATGTATTGTATTATATATATATTAATGCCCTCATAGCTTAGACAGAGCTGACCCTGAGTTGTTATCTGAGCACAAAGTTTTTTCTGAAAACATGTTTTCCTCAGTACACATAATATCCAGAGCAAAGTTTACAGTTACAACTGATTCCCTTGTTCTCTTTGGGTATACTGTGTGCATAGAAAAGTTAGAGAAATACATAAAGTCAGCCCACCTTGCTGTGTCAGGCCTTCTCAGACACAGAATCCAAGTCAGCTGCAACATAGGGATGGAGTTTCACCAAAGCATCTCTCGGCAGCATGATGAGGCAAGGCAACCTTGTGTTCACCTCGTTTCCGATGAGCACGGATGGTAACCTCTGACAACCTGCAGTGTAACAAGCACAGTGACATTATGCTTTGCTCTGACTGATTCCTAGTGTAATAAATCTGCTTGTTTGCCTCTTTGAGCAAGAGAGTATAAGCTCCACAAGCACGTGAGAGTACTCTGTGTTGCTTATCAAAACCAATACTTGCAGGATGAACTTTGTTAAATACAAATATCTTCCTAAAAATTGCAGGAATATTTCTTCACTGATTACAGTTTCAACAATAGAACCTCAGGCTGTGTACCACAATGAAAATTGGAGATATTAATTAGCTTCCCTGTGTGCTCTGTTGTGCTATAAAGCTTGCAGACAACATAAAGGTGATTCTTCAGGAGAACCTTTTGGATAGGCAGTGTGCAACAGCCAGGTTTCTCGTGACTCTGTAAAGTGCTTAGGACTGATGATGTACAACAGAACAATTCTGGTAATGATGGTGACTGTAGGATTAGATTAAGGTCCAAAGAGAGCCTTTGCAGACTGCATTGTGCTAGTGTTAATTTGCTGGCTAAGCTAAAAAGCAATTAAAATTTGTCATTCTAAATTCATGTGACTGAACAAAACAGTTAATACTATGTGGTGTTTCTCTGGGTACCAAAAGAAGTTTGTCTTTCTAGTTTTGGTACATTTAACAGCCACTGTGTTGTTGCCATCTTCTCTGGTTCCCTGTATCCAATAACTCTACCTTAGGAGGAGCTTCCTGAAGTACAATTCCAATTCTTTCCTGTCTTGACAAACCATATCTTAAAATCTGTTTCAAATACACCTAAATATATCTCCTTTGTCCTTACTGAAGTTTGTTTCATGTTCTTCCTGGTATTTATACACTGTTACAGATAGCCATCATACAGCAGCCTTCATTTTGCTACACTAAACGTAATAAGCTATATCTTCTCTTCTGCTGCACTATGATCCTGCCCATTTTTAACTTAATTTCAGTCTTTCTACTTGATTAAGACTTGTATCAGTGTGTAGATGAATGGATATAAGATGCACTAATGCTTTCCCGTTATAAATTCCTTGTTTGCCTCTTGGTGTCTCTCATTTACTGTGCCTGAGCACCGTCCTAATCACCACTCATTTGAACTCTAAGTTACTATGGAAATTATTAATTTAAATGCATTTAAACAATTTAACCTGGTATTGTGACAGCTTTTAATTAGAAAATCTAGATGTTATGATGATCTGCCTGTTTCTCCTGGTTTGCATTGCTCCCAGCGCTGGTGACAATTCAGTTTCATCAGCAGGTATCATTAGCTTGTTTCCAACTTTTGTGCTATTCTCAGTCAAGAAAAAACTTGGAACTAATCCAGGCCAACTTAGCTGAATTCTACAAACACCCTTTTCAACAAAGCTTTTGTGCTTACTTTCAAGTTCTTTAGCCTCGGTCATGCTAGTTCCCATCTTCTCTGTTTTAATTGTGGTTCTTGTCACGTCCTCTGGATATCCAAGTGTCATCCTGATCCACCGTGTCCTAAGATTCACCTTTGACACGAGCAACATCTTTGTGTTTGGCTTAAGCCTTGGAAAATGGAAATAAGACTAAATTTTCTGTGCTGAGAATAACAAACAAAATTTGCTGTTTGCAATTGGATGCTTAAAATCCTTACTGCTAGAATTACAATTTCATTTGCTGATTATTTCAGAATGCTGGGATGAAGGTCACTAAGTCTGCGTTGTCAGCTGAGTCAATTAAGTTTCTTGGCAGAACATTTAAGTCTGCTGCAAAGAGGAAGTAATGTTTTATTGCATGATTTTGTGAACATATGCCATCTATTAGTAACAAATCTGGAATGGGCGGTTTTAATTTTAAGGATTTAAATGTCAGTGAAGAAAATTGTTGGACATACTGCTCTTTCAAGTACTCCAGCAGAACAACCTGCTGCTCTCCTTGTGCACTCTGAGTAAGGATGAAGTGTATTTTTAGTGCGCTTCCACCCAGCAGAACTACAGACTCTGATGGCAGTCCTGAGGCTTGTGTGAAACCCTCATGATTGGACTACAGAGGGTGGAGTCCTAACATGACTCAGGGAGTAGTAACTCTCATTGGAGCAGCTAACCAAACACATCTCTTTGTGAAGGGAACTGTGCTTGCTCTGCTCTCTGTTCTTAGGGAAGGTTTACTCAACAGCTAACTTCGACTATCTGCATTTTAATTAGTGCAGTCACAAGGCAGTGTAACAGAACAAATATTGTTAGTACCTAACAGACTTGGACCACTGCAGTACCCTGCTGGTTTGTTATACTTTGACCCATGGTTCAAAGCTGACTAGATCTTGCTGCTTACTGAAAACTGTGGGAAAGTCGTGTTTTTTGTTGGTTTGTTTTTAGTTTTAAACTCTACTGACTGAAATACAAAATCAAAAGCAATGTTTCATATCATTTGTGAAGTCGTATCCCAAGCAGGATATATAGCACAGAAAAGCAGCAACGTGTTTAGTGTCCACTGTCACCAACAATAAATTACCCAAGGAAGTTTTAGCTGCACTGACAGCACCCAGTGTGACTAAGTAGGTAAGAGAAAGTCCACCCAGAGCAGAATTCTGTCCAGCACCATCTCTGAGAAGATACAAAGATATTACAAAAGAGAGAAGCATGAGTTTGTCTCCCTATTTCACAAACCTTGAATTTACTAACAGTGGAAGGTTGTCTTGACTCTCTCGGATTTAACAAACTTTCCTAAATGCAGTGGTAGCTGTAGTAACAAACCAAGAAGATTCTTTGAATACAGGGAGTGAAGCTAGATGACAACAATGGTTCCATTCCATTCTTTAAAAAAAGTCATTCCAGATAATCTTGCTAACAAATATGCTTGCAACACAATTAACATTGCTATGGATTGTTCAGATGTATGCCTTTTTAGGACTTTTCTCTTTTTTTTTCTTCTTTTTTTCCCCATTTGATTGTGAATATAGATGGTTCCTTTCCTAAATAGTTCAATCCCAAACAATCCACTAAAAGGAAGAGGAAGAATTCTGTTTTATGTATGTATTTGGTTCCCATGGAAGCAGGGGTTTTATTATATACCTGGCCTGAAACAAATAAGTTTAACAGAGGTGAAGTATACTAGATATACTCTGAGAACATCTCTTGAAAAAATGCTGTGAGGATTAAATTCTTAAAGCTGTTCCTGACAAGTTCTGGGCAAACAAGGCAGATATAAGCCCAATATTGCTGAAGATGGGTCATTTATTAGAATTTTTATACATTGTAGATGCTTTCCATTTGAAGTGGACTAGCATGGTAAATTATTACCGACCTATTTTCTGCTGCCTGCACTTACTGCTATTTTACAGACACAGAGAGCAGTGGTTTTACTTGGCAACGGGCATTCAAGTGCCACAACAGGTTAGAGCAGAAGACTGCTTGCATTTGAGTGGTGTCTGAACTGCTAACACATGCTAACACATTTCATAACAAAGTATGCAGAAGTTTTGAATAATCACAATTAACCACCGCATAATACCAGGGACGGATCCCTCAGGAAGTGTATCACACTGGTTAGAACCTCTTACAAACACTTAGCTACAGGGTAAAGGAAGAAATAAGCGTATGTGGTGTCTGTTCCAAATAGAATATGAATAAACATAACAATAGATGTAAAAATAGAAACAAAACACCAAGTGCACTTCCCATGGCAGCTAGATTAGATTTCTTTCTAGGAAGAGGAGCTTGGTAGCCTGGACAGCCCTACCTTATGGCCTCTGGGGATCTAGATCTTGTTCTCAAGTCACACACAGAGATGAACAGCTGCTCCGGGTCCACCAGTGCCTTTGATACACTTGGCCACTGCACTGGTCTGGTGGTCCAGACGACACGGCTCATCGCCTGCCAGCTCCCAGATTCCATCTAAAGCTTCATGTGCTTCTGGAAAATAGGTCTGACCTAAATCCACACGTGTTTGGGTTGAATTTAATTGCACCGATGCCAAAGGGAAACCGCGTTGCGGACTTTCTACTTCACGGGCCCGGTGCCCCCCGTGTGGGACGGTGCCCGGCGGCGGGGCTGCGGGACCGGGCGCTGCCGTCCCTGAACGCACCTCCTCGCCGTTCCGAGGCAGCGCCGGGCACACCGCGGCCCTCGGCGAGACGGGGCGGGCCGGACGGCCGGCAGAAGGGGCGCTGCGTTAGCGGGGCCGCCGCCGGCCCGGTCGACTCTTGGGCGCTGCGGTGCTGCCCGCGGGGAGCGGGGCCGGGCCGGGGCGGACCCGGGGGCGGGGCGGGTCCCTCCCGGCCACACAGCCTCCATTTTGCGGTGCAGCTGCGGGAGAGAGACCGGAGGCTCCGCGCTTTTCCCTCAGGTGAGGCGCCCGGGGGCGGGCAGGGAGAAAGAGATCAGCCTGGCGCCGTGCGCGCGTCCCCCGCCCCGGGCTCGGCCGCTCCCCGCCGGAGGGCTGCGACGGGGCACGGCGGGACGGGGCACGGCAAGACTCGGCCGGCAGGCGCCCCGCCGGAGGAGGGCGCGGTCCGCTGGGCAGCGGGAGCGAGGTCCCCCGCCATCTCGGGGCAAGTACCGAGAGCGGCGCCGCCTCCGCGCGGACGGCCGGCTGACAGAGCCGCGGCCCTGCGGCGAGAGCCCACGGTGCTGCGTGACCGCACCGAGACGGGCGGCGGCTCCGGCCGCGGGCGGGGTCCTCCAGCTGCGGCAGGGCGGGATGCTGCCCGCGCCGAGCCCCGCGTTACATCGCCGGAGTCAATCCCATCCCGAGTCCCCGAAACAAATAAAAGCCGTCCGAACCTGCGATTCCGGCGAGAAAGGCCCGCGAAGCCCCGGGATGGCGGCTCCCACTGCCCTCCGCTGCGGGACGCCGGGGGAGGGCCGGTATCGGCACCGGGCAGAGCCCGCCCTCCTGTCGGCTGTACGGGCGGCAGCGGCCTCCGCCCCGCTCCGCGGCCCTCGGGCTGAGCTCGGTGCGGGAGCAGGCGGTCCGAAATCGGGTACTGCTGTTGTGAATGCGCGTATCTGTAAGACGGGTTACGCGGAGAGCTGCTTCACTACGCGCTGCTGTCCGGTCGGTGCGTTCTGAAGGGACTCCGGGTCCTGCCGTCGGAGAAGCCCGTATCGCCGTACGGCACCGTGCAGCCGGCCGCGGAGCGCCTGCAGGGACCGAGGCTGAAGTCCTTACCTGACCCCTTCACCACAATACGTCTGACCAGGAAAACGCTGCTGCTTTTCTGAGTTACAAACACAAGAAGTAGGAATTGGGGTCTTGCTAGAGCGGGTGATCACACGAAACGCTGCCATTCCCAGTGCCCGCCCCAAAACACACCAGCAATTACCCACGTCCCAGAAACGGAACCCACACGGTGCCAGTAAGGAAAGAGTTAAGCACTGCAACAGCCCGTGTACGTCACAGGTGTGCACGGCTGGGTGATCTGCTAATCAGAAATACTGCCCTCCTTGCAGAGGAGGCTTGGAAACCAGAATCTTGACAAGCTTTTGTGCCAGAATTTGTTTGACAGCAAATGGGGGACATGGCTGAAAAAAACGACTTCATTTTACATTAAGTATCTCGTCAATGAGTCTAAAAACTGGTACGTTTCAGTATGGATAAAATATTGTTGGGTCTCACTTGTATACTAATTAAACTTCGTACAGCTGTTGGAACAGCTGATCTGCAGCCACCGGCTGCTTTACAAAAAGCAGTGTGAGCACAGGGAATGTGATACTGTGCACACCTGCCCGTTTTACAGGCTTCACCTTACTGCCTGCTTAACGGCGTGACTTTGATTGAATTACATGGAGCATAAAGCTGCAATAGTTTGGAGGTTTTTAATGGCCAGTTTTGCTGACACTCTGTTTTCCCATTGAGTGGAAAGAGTGACGCTGAAACCCAAAGGAAGTGTTGGCAGTTGTCTTCTTCCTGAAGGGAGCGGCAGTCCATGGTTAAGTAACAGAAGTAGAAGAAATGTGTGGAAAGCCAGAATGAAAAGTCAGTGCACATAGCTGTCAGTAGTAAATACTTCACACGTATTGACCATGTGCTTCTTCTGAGGGAAACAAATGGCAATTAGCAGTATTTATGATTAAAGTGTTTACGGTTATGATTTCCAAGTACACCTCACACAGTTCTTCTCCCTTTGTTATGAAGAAAGCCCCCTGAAGCAGTGCTCCTGCTTTATCACTGTGAGGCTACATAGCTGTACTTATCTACAAGATTGCTTTGGCTCTCATTTGAACTCACCTGCTCTAAGTTTTAATGTTTTCCACAGTAAGTCAGAGGCATTTAAGGCAGCATTTGTGGAATTAGTGGTACAACATGGCAAGAAGATGGTTTTCAGATCCATTTGTTTTGCCTGCAGAATACCGAGGAATGTGAATAGTCAGTAACTGCATTACATTTTATATTTCCCATTTTCTTTGATCTGTGCAGCTAGGACACTGCCTCATAAACATGCAGGGAGTAACTTCCAGTCCTTGTCTTCTTCTGTTTCTAATTCCCCAGCCCTTCTATTAAAAAAAGGATTGGAATAGTCATTAGCAGGAAACAGAAATCTCACAAATGAAGTAATGCAGGGGGAGTACAGTAAGAACCGCTTCGTAGGGAGGCTAAGATTGCTCTTTCTGCTCATGGATTTTGAAACAGCAGCTTCACTAATTTTTAAAGGATTTTAAAAAATGAAACAGATCCCCTCCCTTTTCAGCCAGCAGCTCTTGCACAAGAGACAACACGCCCGGGCTGAGAGGAGCTGCTCTGGAGGTGGGTTCTGTGTGGGGCCCCCACCCAGCAGCTCCTCCACCTCTTTCCCTCTTCAGTTATGCAAGACAGGAATGCCTCACAGAGACATTTTTTGGCAGAACAATCACTTAAAGACTGAAAGGCCTGCAGGCTCAGAAAACAGGCACTTGCAAAACTTTTCTATGACCTTTCCTTCAATTTATTGTATGTCACATGTAAGTTTGTACTGTGCTAATGTAAACCTTCATCTACAGTGCTATCTTCTTATGCTTAAATAAGCTCTTTGGATTGAAATTCAGATCTTTGCAAATCCTTTTCATGGTGCACTGACCAGCACTGGGCGCAGTTGAATTCTGCAGGATGCATCATGTCATTACCATCAGGAAAAGACTGAGTCATTTCTTATGTTTTGGAGTTAGACAAAGGTGGGATCTTAATAGGGACTCAAAGGCCAAAGTAATAAACATGTGCCTGCTGAACCACCCTGGTCCTCCCACACTTGAGCTGTCCTGCTGTCATAACTTATTACAGCTAGCATCAATTCTGGCTTGTGGTATTCAAGAAGTTAGAACTTTTTAGTTTAAACCCCATTATTTGATCTTTGAAATCATTTTGGTGCATGCATCTATTTCATAAGAACAGCCAAAAGCAGGCAAAAGATACATTTCTATTACATTTCTATCTGTGAGATAGATCAGGTACTGTTCTCCTCTCAGGAGTTATTCCTGTGAGTGAAGGGGTGCAGGCTGACAGGATACAATCATGGAATTGATCCTAACTCTTCTGTCTCTGTTCTGACAAAGGGTCAGCCCCTTCCTGCTGCCACTTCAAGGTTTGTAACCCATATTTCAGAATTACTTTTGAAGATTCAGCTCTCTTACTGTGCTTCAACATATATCTGACCTAATTAAGGGTAGTAAGAAATTACAAAGTTGATGATGCTTCTCTTCTGAATTCTGTTTGCTGTTTTGTGTAAAAAAATAAAAAACTAAAAAAAAAAAAAAAAAAAAAAAGGAAAAGGTTTGTGGTTTTGTAGCTGATGAGTACTTCTAGCAACACTGAATGAATTAACTGAGTTGCTCAAGTAACCTCACAGTTACTAAGCCAGCAAATGGCAGCTACACACTCATGCAGTGCCTGACAGGGATTTTTTTTTTTTTTTTTCCAGAATGTCATACCCAGGTTATCCCCCTTCTGGCTACCCTGCTTTCCCTGGCTACCCTGTAAGTATGGCTTTTATCTGTCTTGCATTCCTAGCGTATTTAGAGTCAACATCCCTTCTTACTATGCTCTGTGTGCATGTAAACAGCAGCTGTTTTTATCCATAGATCCATCTCTGAGTGTGATTTTACATTTATCTCAAATAAATTCCAAAAAGGAAGTCTGATATGTATTTTATAATATTGCCTGTTGTTCCAGAGGGAGGGTGGCTTCTTGTTTAGTTTGTTACCTTGATCTTTTTAGTCATTTCATTCTGTTTTATTTTCTCCTATATATAGCTAACTACCTCAGCAATTTTTTTTTTAATTATTATTTTTTTTAAGCGTTGGTAGTAGTGTAGTTGTTAATAAATATGAGGGTCTTTAGGTACAGGGTATTGTCTGAACCAGTGTCTACCAAACCACCTGTGTGCCCATATCCTGGCCGTTTCATTCAGGAGTAAAGCTGCTGAGCAATCCAAGCTCCAGAACCCAGCTTTCCTACAACACTGAGTAAATATTTTTCTGAGGATATTGGACACTTTAACTTGACTTTGACCCCCAGTCCTTCAGCCACAGTACTTTATTCCACCTTCAGTTCATGACTGAATGGACTGAAAACTCCAGTGAAACTGGAAGGCTGGAATGTATCAGGTATGGTTGATGTTGCAGTGTTTTTTTTCAAAGCCTGGCACAACTGTGCTTTAATTAGTGAGGCACTGATCATAATGTAATTGTGGGAATTCTATTTATGTAGTACTTGACCAGACTTATGATGGAGCCCATAAAATAGTGAAAAGCTCAAAGTATATTTAGTAAATTCTCCAGTTATTTTGTTTTACAGTTTACCCAGACTCCCTCTGAAACACCAAAGTCAGTCAGACTAAAGAGATAACCATGTCAGAAGCCAGACTTTCTTAACTTTGGGATTTCTTTTCCCTGCTCAAGGTTCTGCTGAACCCTCACGATTGTCCCTGTTCATTGCAGGGGAGTTGGACTACATGACATCTAAAGGTCCCTTCTAACTCAAATGATACTATGAATATTTTTTAAGTTAGCATCTAAAATCTAGCCAACTTCGGTTCAGGAATTTAAAAGACCGTGTAGATGCTGGAGTAGCCATGCTAGGTTTTCTAGTCTGCAATAGTGCAAAAAGTCAATGTAAAATTATTTTCTGTAATATTGATAGTCATCCTAGCGGGCCTAGGGGATCCTGACTTTGGATTTGTAAATCTAAATCCTGTTAAAATCTTTTTGTTGAGTCTGTCTGAACAAGGTTAGACTGCACTGCTGGGGAAGGGGATCTTCCTGGACACAATGGTGTGCTGGTGGGGATCTTGGGGCAGCCAAACCTGAGGAACACCTTTGAGCTAGATTTTACTGCTAGGGAAATGCATTAGATGACCCAGCCAGAAGGCCCGTGTCCAGGTTTAGGGAATGCTGCTGCTGCTCCTAAGAGCTAAACCTAATCACGTCGTTATACATATATGGACATTTTAGTAGCGTGAGTTTTCACTCTGTAATAGAGTACAGACAGACATCTTGTGGGTTTTTTGTATTTCAGCCCACAGGACAGGAGTCTGTCTACCCGCCTGCTGGGCAGTACACCTATCCTGCTGCTCCTGGAGGATATCCTCCAGCAGGAGGAGGGAGCTTTCCTGCAGCACCACCCAGTGCTGGGTATCCAGAGGCAGGAGGATATCCTGCCCCAGGGGGTTTCCCTGCCCCAGGGGGCTTCCCTGGAGCTCCCCAGGCTGGAGGAATGCCATCTTATCCTGGAGGTAAGATCCAGCCCTTGGGAGTTATTTCTGTTGTAACCAACTCTCTGTGCTTGGGAAAGTAGTAAAGAAAAGCAAGCGATTGTTCAGTGTTCAATTTTTAGGCAGCGTCTAGACAGTCAGATTGCTACCTAGCAATAAGTACTTGCATGCTAACAGCAGAGTTTTGATGGCTTTGGGTTGTGAGCCACTGCACAGATAGAGAGAAAAGAAACAATCTCTTGTGCAGCTCAATACACTGGCTCACGTTGTGCTAGAAACCACTTAAGAAATGCTGTGTGCTAAAATCTGTTATCTGCTCCTGACTCCCACAGGCCCTGGGTTTGGAGCGCCTCCCACTGGCCCTGGCTTTGGTGGCTATCCCCAGCCTCCTGCCCAAAGCTATGGTGGAGGTGGACCAGCACAAATTCCTGGTATGTGGATGTTTCCATGTCATATGTATGATATTTCAAGAATCCAAGGCTAAATCAAGAGATCCCAAGATAGATAGTAAGAAAAAAAAAAAAATAGGCCCTTACCTTTGTTACTGTTAGCCATTGAGGTCTGTATGCTGTGTGTGTCCTCTCACCTTTCTTGACAAGAACAGTGAAGAGCAGATGAGAATCACCTCTATGTGTGCTGCATTCAAAAGGGAAGGCTGTCACTGCTTAATGATTGTGATGTAATTAGTTAGGTGCTTATCCTTCAAACTGCACTTATCTGACCAGAAATGTTAAATTGGGAATCCACATTCAACAGATATCTGGCAATTCTGCTCATCTCAGAGAAATGGATATATTTTTCAGGAACCTGAGCAGATCTGTGTTCACAGTGATCCCAGGAATTATGAGGGAAGTGGAAAGGAGAATGCACACCATTGCTTAAAACCAGTGCATTGTTCTTCATGCTTTGAATAGTCAGTTACCATCAAAAACATTTTTGTCCTGGGATGTCAGTTGCGTCTGCAAGAAATTCAGAGCAGCAAATTCTCTTTTAATGATTGCCTCACTGACTTTAAATAATAATAAAGCTGCCATTAAAACAATAACAACTGTGCATATGCACTATATGCACTATAGATAAAAATAAAATACCAGTTTTAAAAAGTGGCTGCATCTTTTGTATTCACAATGATTTTGAACATGAAATGAGATTTCTTAAGTTCTTGCACCTAGAAATTCTCAGCATTTGTTGCTAATGTGCTATAGACATTTTAACATAAATAAAATGGCTCTGAAAGAGAGCACGGGATGTGCATTCCTCATTTGCATGGATCATCTTGGCTTTTGTCAATGGCAGCCATATTTAATAAGGAGAGATTCTTCCAGTTCTCACAGCACCAGTAAATTTAGCATTTTTATTAGTGCCTCACTAAAGTATCTACCAGAATGCTCTGTGATTGCTTCTTCCCATTGTTCTCAATGGCAAGAGCTTCAGTTATAGGTATGGTTACTTAGCACATGGATGTTATTGATGTGGTAGACCTGTAACTTACCAGGTCTAAAAATGGTTTTACCTTCAGGTTAAGTAGCATTTATATAATAAGAAGAAACATAATTAATTTGTTTATCTTGTTATTTAATTCCTTTTCAGTAGGCTATCCTGGTGGACAAGCACCATCACCAATGCCTGGTCCGGTATGTGCTGTGCGCTCTTTTATAATCAGTCTTAATGTTGCTTCTCTGTTTTTTTCACCTTGCTGTTAGTGGGAGATTGGGTGTATGGCAAATATTAGGGAGGAGGCCTGAATATGAACTGGGGATACATCATAGACAAACAGGCACTGATGGCTGAAAATATATTTTGATATCATTAATAAAGGTTGTTTAATAACAGTCCCTCATTTTGTCCCCAGTGCGAGGAAGAACTGCTATTAGAGGCAGTTCTGGGCAAAGGGGAACTCAGGTAATACAATCCTGAATGTCACTGCATCACTGCAGCACTCAGGTTGTTTATCACAGTATTTCAGAGGGGCTTCCTGTTAAAGGGAAAAAAGAAGAAAAAAAGAGCATCCATCTTGGCCATGCAGAAAAGTAATCAATTTGTTGCCATTACTTTCAATAGGATTCAGATTTACTCTATAATTTGAATAATTAATTGAAAGTAATGAAATTTAAGCTGTCATATATTTGCCTACAGACATTTTAATACAGCATTTCTCAATGAGTTTGATATGAAAGGGTATGAATTGGTCCTATATTATCAACTGGTTTAACACTGACAAACTTTCCTTTGGTGTAAAAGCAGCAATGAAGTCATTGCAGAGTTCCTGGCTACACTCGGAATACAACCCAAACAAAACCATCAGTCAGTATCTCTGTATGCTCAACATGCAGGCCTGCATAAAGGCATTGCTTTGGCAGTGGTGATAGACCAAAGCTGTTCTACACAACTGTCACCCTGATTTTGTGTCAGAGAAAAACAGTGAACTAATGGAACAAATGGAACAAACCATTCTGTGACTCCTCCCTCTGAAGTACTTACTCTAAAGTGGTGATTTTAATTTGAATTTGTATTGTGCAGGTTAGATAGTTATACATGGTTTTGTTTTCAGCCTGCAGCAATGGTTCAGTATACTCAGGGCACAATTCAAGCTGCTCCAAACTTTGATGCTGGAAGGGATGCAGAAATTCTGCGCAAAGCTATGAAGGGGTTTGGTAAGTAAGCAACAGGCATTTACATTTCTAATGTGTTAATGCCATTTGAAGCTTCAGTTTGTATCATTTATGGTTACAAATATATTTATTTCTCCATAAGCTTTTCAAAAGTCACACCAAAAGACAGTTGGGAGATTTAGTAGACCCTAAGTTACAAAAAAAAATTGGTAAATAGACTTAAATGATATTAATGTATTTATTATATAACCACGCAAAAATGTGAGATTGCATTGCCTTAGATGGATTATTACGAGTTCTCCCATTGCCCTTCTGTTTCCAAGGGACTGATGAGAAGGCTATCATTGATGTTGTATCTAACCGCTCCAATGACCAAAGGCAAAAAATCAAGGCAGCTTTCAAGACAATGTATGGCAAGGTATGTTCAGTAAACAAAAACCACAACCATTTCAGCTGATGTGTAACTGCCTAATTGCATTTTAGTCCTGGAGAGTGGTTTGGAACATTTATTAAATGCACCTCTTTGGGTTATATTTTTCATTGCATACCGTGTAGACATCTGGTGTACAAGTGTTCTGATACCTGGTAGAAGTGAGGGCATAGGGCAGTCTGGCAAGGTCCCTCAACAAAGCAGAAACTTTTCTGAGTTGATAATACTTAGAAGACAGAAAATAATCGAGATTAAACTGTCTTACTGTCTGATGTTCCTGAGGTTTTGTGCTGAAATAACTTTTTTTTTTCCATTAAAAAGCCAACTGATAAATTGGTTGAGAATTGGTGAGCACTGCTAAGGCACAGCTCGCTGGAGTAACTCCATGCCATTATTGCTGTAACTGTGCTCACCTGAAAATTGCAGACACGTGTCTACTCCTGTTGCCCCCTTTATGATACATAATGGAAGGTTCTTTTCCAAAGGAGTCTGTCCTGCAGACACTTGCTTTCAAATCATTTCTTTTCTGTGCTTTTTGCTGTGGTGAAACCTTACGTTTTTATCTGCTTAGTAGCACAGCTCTGAAAGAATCACAGAATCATTAAAGGTTGGAAAAAACCTTGAAAATCATCAAGTCCAACCGTCAACACGTCACCGCTGTGCCCACTAATCACATCCCTCAGTGCCACATCCCCACATCTCCTGAACACCTGCAGGGACAGCGACTCCACCACCTCCCTGGGCAGTCCATTCCAGTGCGCTGCCACTCCTTCAGAGAAGAAACTTTTTATGCTATCCAACTTGAATCTCCCCTGAAAAAATTGGCTCTTTCCCCACCAGGCTGAACTTGTTGGTTTGTATCTAAAATACAGTGAGTAATTCTGCAAGCAACTGGAGTTGTTTGTTGGAAATACTTGATGCAGGAAGGAACTGAACTCAGCACTCCTTCCTCAATGAGCACTCCAGTCCCTACAGAGTTATGGATGTGTACTGCTATCTGTTTTGCCAGTATTCTCCAAGAAGGCCGTGTTTTTGGTGGATATGAGGGATTTTCAGGATATGGATAACAATGTAATGTACTGTAGCAAACAAAAGCAGGAGAAGATCATGAGTTGCTCTAATTTGGGGGGTGGGTGAAAATTTGTGCCTCTTGAACTATGTGTTAAAGTAATTTCTAGCCCCCATATTATGTAACAGTGCCCTTTTTGTGTTTCTAATTGGACAGGATTTAATTAAAGACCTGAAGTCTGAATTAAGTGGAAATGTGGAAGAACTGATTCTGGCACTCTTCATGCCTAGAACCTACTACGATGCCTGGAGTTTACGTCATGCAATGAAGGTATGGTTCTCCTGTGAACAAAATAATTTAAAACCATCTAAAAATGCTCATTCAAGAAAACAAAATACCTGATCTCTGCACTGTTGAAAAATCCTGTGGTGGAAAGCAAATTCAGGGACTGTTGAGATTAGAATTCTTCTCTGCTGCATGTGCCAGTACTGCAGGATTGGCCGGTTTGCAGCAGCTGTCCAGCAGGGGATGAATGCTGCAGGATTGAATTTTTATTCTCTGCTCCAATCTTGGTCATTCTTTTTGCTAGAATCTAATAAGAGCCAGAGTTCTTTTAACCATTTAAGCACTGTTTACACTGAAGTTGCTTGCCTCTCCCTGCTGGAAACAAGCCATTGCTACTAAGTGATAGTTTTAGATTACCTAATTTTTTCTTAACAGGACAACAATGAAAGAGTATTTTCTTAAGGTCAGAGGATGCAAGTATCTCTTTGGGTGTTATGTCCACATTAGGGGTTAGGTGAGCTAGCTGATTTAACCTTCTAACTCAGGTAAACTGCTATGTTCAACTTACCTGAATTCCTTGCTTGAGTTGCAGCAGCTAGCAGGTGGCTGACTACTGGAAACAAGTCACTTAACTCAGATAGGAATGCAGATCTCTAAAGAATATGGAGCACAAATGAAGATCTAGCTTTAGCAGGGGCAAGAACCAGACAACCATTAAAAAAAAATAATTATGTTATACAGTACTATTTAGAAAGTTCACATAGATCTACCCCTACATAATCCTTGCTCAAATAGTGATGGTCATGCCAGCGCATGTGTCTGTACTCAGAACCCCCAGTTAATTTCTATCCTGAGGAGAGGGAAGCAGCTATGAAAAGTTCCTGCTGGTCCTCCATACCACACCTTTGGTATAAGAAACACACTTTCACAGTGATCAAAACAACACTTACATATGCAGAGATACTGCATATCTCTGACTTTAAGGGCTATCAGAAGGCTCTGCCTTCCTCCAGTATGTTCCCAGAATAAGGTTGCCAAATAATTTCTTCATTTTCTTCTTAAACCTACATTCTGTTACCTATGGCTGACGTTACCATAGCAGACAAGGTATTTTAAGCCAGTGTAGAACTGAGCGTTTCAGAAATCTTCATTCCATTTTCAGCATGTGCTGAACTGGGTGCTTTCACACCACTAGGATACTGTTCTTACAATAGAAATTGTATTCTCTTTTAAAATAACAGCTGATTGCTTATTTTTACAATTGAACAAAATGAAGTAGGCAGTGCTTTGTAGTAATGCCTTCTTTTGCTTTGCCTACAGGGAGCAGGCACGCAGGAGAGAGTGCTGATAGAGATCCTTTGCACAAGGACAAACCAGGAAATACGAGAAATAGTGAACTGCTATAAATCAGAATTTGGAAGGGACATCGAACAAGACATCAGAGCAGACACTTCAGGACACTTTGAACGGTTACTTGTATCTATGTGCCAAGTGAGACAATTTTTGATTTTTAAGACACGCACGTGCATTCCTTGCATATATCCATAATTGCTCCATAAGTGAATTGCCTGTGCCTGCTTAGTCAGAGACAGAAATCAGCCCTAGACTAATTTCCTCTCTAACAAGATAAAACATCTCAGCCCCTCCTCAAGGAAGAATTCCTTCTTATCTATATGACAGATTGAGCGACTTAATCGAGCACTCTGTATTCCCCACAGAAGATTTGTGTAAATACTTTGAGCAGATGCAGTCAAATAGCACATACTGCAAGCAGTGCTCCACGCTGCTGTTAAAGCCAGGTGCTTTTCTTTTTTTTGCATAAAATTATTTGGGTAATTTTGTTAGGATAACCTTTATAGCATGTAAAATATCTGTGAGAGTCCCCCCAGACAAACAAAACATTACCTTCCAAATCACACTGTAGTCCTCCCTTCAGATAACCAGCATTACACGTGTGCTACCACTAAACTCCTGTGAATACTGAAGGCTGCTTATCTCATGTTATTTACTGGGGCTCTTTTTGCATTGAAGAAGAGTAACTTGCTGTTACCCGTGTTTAGAAAGAAATACACAGCACATGCAACTTCCCACATTTTTCTGATACATCTGCCTTGAATTTCTACGACTTCTCTATCCTGTTTGCTTTCTACCTTTATGAGAGTTCAGCTATTCACCAGGCATTTGGGTTACAAAATCAAAGTCCACAAGAAAGCAAAGCTTGAAGCTCATGCTAATTTTTATTTTGATAAATCCAGTACAGTAACTGACAACCACATAATTTAAATATTATATTAACCACTACAGACACAATCATATTTAAGAGTGTATATTTAGCCTACTCAACCAATACATTTAGCAGCATCCGTCCATGCACTGTGCAGCAAGAATGCAAATCCCAAAGCACATAAAATGTCACATAAGCCCTACTTGACATATTACAACTATAGTAAGTGTTTTCTAGATACATTCATAATTGAAATTAGCAATTCTAAATACAATAGAAGACCTGAGATATTTCAGGTGTGCATATTCAGAAAGATAATTCATTAGTTCATTTAGGAAGATTCTTTGCAACTTGAAGCCTAGAAACGAATCAAGAGAAAGCTTTCATTATTAAATAAAAAAGAATTTAGCGCAGTTCCTGAAAAAGACCAGATGAGATGGTATTTATAGGTGAAGCAACATGTGAGTGTGTATGTATATATATACACATACACACACAGTATATCCACAGTTTAAACCATACCCTACTGACAAAGTTTTGGGCCACAACTGTATTTTTTCTAAGAAATATTAATCCAAATAATAGTTTCAAAGCAATGTAATGTATTTCTCACTGGTATCACTCATCCTACTTCAAGCTTTGGAGATATATGCTTGGGGTCTGTACTCCAAAGAGTGAAAGCACAGCTTCTCTGTGCAACTTCATTTGACTTCTGCTATCCTTGCTTTTAGGGTAACCGGGATGAGAATCAAACCGTGGATTATCAAAAAGCTCAAGAAGATGCTCAGCGTCTTTACCAAGCAGGTGAAGGAAAACTTGGGACGGATGAATCTTGCTTTAATATGGTTCTGGCAAGCAGAAGTTTTCCCCAGTTGAGAGCAACAGCTGAGGCGTATTCCAGGGTAGGAATTCTTCACTGATTTCAATGAGTTTGGTCAGCATATTTTGAATTAAGGTTCCAAATGCTACTGCATTTCGTGATCCACAAGTTAATCTCATTTATTTGTAGATTGCTAATCGTGATTTAGCAAGCAGCATTGATCGAGAATTTTCTGGAAACGTGGAACGTGGCTTGAAGGCTATTTGTAAGTGATACTTTCTTCCTTACCCTTATCCCCCCTTTTTTTTTAGAATTTTTTAGAATTTTTTTTTAGAATTTAATTTTCTAGATGTAATTGAGGAAGAATCCAATTCAACACTGGCCATATGGCAAATGAATACACAATCTGAGACTCTATTACTACAAAAGTAACTTTAATTATTCAAATTATTCACTTTGCACTTACTTGGAGGAAACACATCCAGCTTGGTAAAGTCAGTTTGAAACCAGAGAAGGTTATATAGAAACTACTTGTCTAGAAAGACGTGTGACTACACAGAAGCAAGGGACACTGCTTAGCACTGGTTGTTCTGTGTCTCAGAGCCCTGCAAAATGAAGCCAGTGCCACTAACAGAGCGTGGCAGAGATAGCTGAACCACCCCACACGTGATCTCAGACCCACCGTGAACCTACTTTTAGGCATGGTTCACTTTACAATTCTCTTCTCTGCCACCACCTAACCCCCAAAAGCTCAGCATTTCTGAGGAAAACATCACCAAAAGAGAAGACCTGTTCTGATTTCACTAATCCCTGCCAACTTATAGAAAAGCATTTCAAATTTATTATGACTTCTGATAGGATCAGTATGAGTTACTAAAGTGAAACCAGTACTCTGCACAACAGCTCTACCACTGCTTACCAAACTGTCAGCATTTCTGCAGCCACAGTGATTAAAAGCTATCACACTAAACAAGATCTTCCCAGATTATATTCTGCTGAAGTTCTGCAGGAAAAAATGATCCCTGAAGATCACATAAAAGAAAAAACAGTGAAAAATCTAACTGATTGATTCTGCAGCTACTTGTGAATGAAAACTATTTACTTTTGTACTTTTGTTAATGGGGGTCTAGCAGTGGAACAGCAGTAAAAGTGCTCATATCCTGGTACCAGCTATGTAAGGAAAAGAACTGAAAACAACCTGTTTGAGAATTAAGGTTTCAGCCACCTGTGAAAAGCACTTTCAGAAAAGTTAACTGGTAATAACTACAACTTTTCTTGTGAAGTAATAACTCATTTGTTCAGCTTCAAAATAAACCCATCTTAGCAAAACAGTTCCTGTAATCCAGAATAACAGAATCTGTATTGACAGCTACCTGCAGCTGACTAGAGCATTAATCCTGAACTGATCCTGCAAGTATCACTATACAATACTAGATCTAATCCTAAGAATGTACCTTATTGCAGTGCAATGCGCTTTTGATCGCCCAGCCTTTTTTGCAGAAAGGCTTTATCATGCTATGAAAGGAGCTGGCACAGATGATTCTACCCTCATCAGAATTGTAGTCACTCGCAGTGAGGTAAGAAACTTTCTCCTCTCTAGCCTTCCACTACTTGTGAGGTCTATCTTCTCTAACCACCTTTTTATGCAGTCCCTCTTTCACAGCTGTAGCAATCATGCATTGCAGTAAAGCTTTTATCCATTTCAGATGAACAAAGTAATTTGTTTTGAAGACAGGTTTCATAGAATAAAGTCTCTCTGGCTAAATAGCAATACTGCTTGTCTTCTTTCCTCACTGTGATTGCTTGCCCATGTAGCAAAAAAGCATCTCAACTTCAACTGTATGAAGTTAGGATACTACCATGCTACCAAAGCAAGGAACAAGCCAGCCTCTGGCTTTGGGAGCAGCTGCAGAGGGACCCGTTGGCTTGTACGAATTGCAGAGCTGATCAGTTGCACACTGCATCCTTGACTTGGATTTCAGTGTGAGGAAAGAGATGCACAGCTATATCTAGGAGTTAAAAGCATATTTTGTATTTAAGTCTTACACTTTCTTTTTTCTTCTTTGCACAGATTGATCTGGTGCAAATTAAACAGAAGTTCACAGAAATGTATCAGAAGACTCTGGCTACAATGATAGCAAGTGATACAAGCGGCGATTACAGGCGTTTGCTACTGGCAATTGTTGGTCAATAGAAGACAGTTACCTGGTTGTTTGTTTTCTTTTTTAAAACAAACCGAAGGACATGTAACATGCTTTATGCAGACACTGACTACTCTTGTGTGTAAAAGAATAATATATAATCAAATACGCCTTCTTGGTGATTCATTAAGCTTTTTGCACTTACACTTGCCTTAATTTACAGCACATATTACTCTTTATTGTATAATAAAAGATATATCTTGTCTACTAGCCCTAAGCTTTAGTTTTTGTTGTTGTTGTTGTTTTTTACCCAGACAAAACCACTTCCCCTTTTACAAATTCCTGCATAATTTCTTGAAGAGAAAGAGCTAACTGCAGATGACAAAAAAAAAAAAAAAAAAAAAAAGAAAAAGAAAAAGCCCCAAGCAGCGATGGAAAGCATTTTCTAAAGCCCCAGGCAGGTTCTCTAATAAGAACTCTTTTCTGTCTTCCCCTCTTAATGCTGAAAAAAGCAGCGTGCTCAGTTTCTTAAACTGTACAGTTTAAGCACCTTGGCAGAAGATGACTGTGCCTTCTCTATTTAAGTCCTTAAATTAGTTATGATTAGCAGATAGTTAGCATTGTGCTTAAGGCAGCAATAGAAAGGAGAAACAATTTCAAATCTAATTTTGAAGTACCGCCTTGTAAAAAAGTGGGTTATACTGCTCTTTCATTGTTAGGTAATTTGCTGTAAGCAAAAGCGAACGCTACAGAACATGTGTTAATCCAAGCTGAAAGTGACAGCGACACGCACAATACAAATGATGCAGCAATGGTTTCATAGGATTAAGGAAAACAGAAATCAGCTTTGTGTAGTGCATTTGTTCTTATAGAAAACCACGCTGAATCTGTCCCCAGCCATAAATTTAATGGAAGCGTGAAGTCCAGCAGCTAACAATGAGTTTCCTAACATTTCTAAGCAATGCTTTAACTAGTGAATATTGTATATAGGCCCCACACAGAAAAAGCAAAGCTCTATTTTTCTTACCCCTCAAACAAAAACAGCGGCAGCTGGTAGAATCCATTTCTTATATGGCAAATCTTTCATTGTACAAACGTACATAAATGTATTTGCAAAACAGTAACAGATAAAAAAATCCACCATGCAAAAATCCCTCAAGTATTTTTCACTTCTATTAAACACTCAGCATTACGTTTGCCATTGAACGAAATGTAAGCAATGAGAACTGGGCTGTCTTCCCGGCTCAGCTCACCAGGTGGCAGCAAGTGTCTCGGCAGCACAAAGCTCTATTGAACAGGAGACGCCAGAAAACCATCCTCAAACACGTTCTGTACTTTAAGGCCTGTTTTTCAGATTCGCTAAAATGCATTCACATTTCTCAGAACAGCCAGAACACCTCCCCACCCCCACCACCTCCCAACCCTTCTCCCTGCAGACAGCAGCACTGCAGCAGCCGCAGCTCTTTGCTTTGCTGTTGCATCCGTGGGCTGGCAGCCATTGCCAAGCATTTCCCCCTCCCCACTGAGAACAGACTAACGCTAAGACACGCAGAACCTTCCTCCCACTTAAAATCCTGGAAGTGGAAAACAAAGCGAAGCAACTTACAGTTTTCTGAGAGGCAGGATACCTTTTTTTCCTCTTCAACAATGCAAGAATTAGAGACAGCTCCAGACTCTACCTTTCAGAAACAGCAGCAAACAAGGAGGGATTACTTTCTAAACAGAGAAAGCTCATAGGCACAATTCTTTTACCTGATTACTTGCTTAAAGGCTGACAGAATGTACACTGTATGACAAACACAGCTTGACAATAACCTGACAATAACATTTACTGCACCTCTGCCCTCATATCTGGCAAACACTGCTATTGACAACAGGCGGGAAGGGATCCTCAGGGAGGTGAGGAGAGCTGTGGCACAGCAACGCCTGCCAGATGAGAGCCAGTTCTCTCCCATACAGCAAGGCCTTTTCTCACAAAGATTTGTATTTTCTCTATGCATACAATTCGAGCTAGTCAGAACAGTGAGAATGAAGACTGCAGTATCAAGCCATAGATATGCGGTCTTAAGAAATACTGTTGGTGCTTACAAGGAGGAAGGCCCCATCACAACGCTCAGTACGTAAAACCTGGATTGTACTGCACCACCACGTGGTTGTTCTGCTCTGACACACTGCACACAGACTGCGCAGCTCACAGCTATGGGAGGGTTTCACAAAAAAACCAACTTACCATTTGTTAACTTGAACTTCTGCGCACAGACTTTGAGAACAGTTTCCAGTTACAACACATCTGCAATAAAGTAAAATAAACATTGAAACTCCATTAGTGTCACATCGGTTGTGTTCTCATCTCGCTCAGCAGCTCGTCCTACTTACAGAGAACACACTAAAACCCCTAAATCAGATATCTGCCTTGACTTGTCGAAACAGCCCCATCCCACCCCCACAGCGCGGCCCGAAGCTCCACCAGCACCATAACCCTCAGCTCAAACGGGCACATGTGGGACACGGCGTCCTCATGGCTGCACTACCCAGCAATGAAGACTGGCAGACAGAAGATGCTCAGATATTCAATACATGAGAAATAACGATTAAAAAAAAAAATGAAATAAAATAGTATTTATGTGAAATGATTTCTCCGCAAGCTAAATCTCACCTCGTTGGCTATTCCTTCAATAGCTTAGATTTGGAAGAGCATTTCTAACCAATTTTCAGGGTCAGATGAGACCTCAGTATGCCAAATAAAACCAATACACAATGATAGGAGCCGCAGCCCATGCACAAAATTTATTGTGTGCTACTGTTTATAAAATACTTGAATAGTTCAGAACATGCATAAAATTCCAACTCAGACGGGGTATGTACAGATCGTACTTCATGGCAAACAAAAAAAGGAGATGAACTCTAGTGACATAAGTTTCAAGTTGTGTTCCAGGGGATGAGAAGGACACGTAGCAAATGTCAAAATATTAACAAAGTACAGTGGCAATCAGTACAGTCCATTATTTGTGAACAAATTAGCACAGGGCTTCAATTTTTATTTTAACCAAGCAGTCCTGTAGATATCAAAATACATGCAGTCTCGAGTTTACACTTTCACTAATGCCTTAGCAGTTGAACAGAGCAATTGATTACGCGCTGCTTCGCCTAGAACAAAACCTATGTCCGATACAGTTTCAGTTTCCTTTACAGCTTAAAAAATAATGACAAGCTTGCAGCTATTCAGCCCAGTGATTACTAGCTACTTATGCAACCGCAGTACTCACGATAAACTAAAAGTACCCATAACATCTACGTAACCTATAGATGTACAGCGTAGGTCTATATATTAAGTATTTGCAAAATGAAAACATGCATACACAAAATACAATGCCAAGCTTTACAGACTTGATATGAATCAAAATTTACTTAAACAATGTACAAAGTTCAATTAAAAGTACCTTAAAATTAACACTCCCATATTTTTCTTACTTTTAAAATTAGTATATATAATTTTTTTTTTTTTTTTTTTTTTTAAAGTTCAAGGTGGGGGAGAGTCTTGAAAAAGCTGGGCAAAAATGTTTCTAAATTAAATATTTTTTAAAATCTGTGTTCAAGTAATAAACATTCCTACATAGAAATCTTCCAATAAGCTGTAACTAAAAAATACAGTGAATACAATATAGAATTAGCAACATCTAAGGAGTAAACCTGAGGTCAGCTTTTTACAGAATGACCAACTGAGATTTCTTTTTGGCATTTTTTCTATTTAAAATACAGTTTTTTTTTGCAGCCTCAGAAATTTTAAGACCATTCTAATCTATTGTTTTAAAGACAATTCATGAAACCGATGTCCATTAATAAATAGTTAGCTCTTAGGGTCGTATCTGAAAGTCTGATTTAAAAAACAAACAAACAAACAAACAAGCTACCTCTACTGAAAGAAAAATCCCATTTGTAAACGTAAAGTGTTGACAACAACAAGCATAAGACGCTAGTCTAGGGGTGCTTTAGTGATAACAGCCCGCTTCCTTCCTCCCAGCTCTTCTGCAGATGCAGCAGCCTGAATACACAAAGGATGCTCCCAGGAGGTCGGTCACCACGTGAAGAGAGGGGCTGTTGTCTCAAAGCACGATGCTGTTCTTCAGCAGGGTCAGGCAGATGGTGCTCCACCTCCTGATAAGTAGTCACCTCGCTGACCCCCCTGGCTATTTCGTCTGTTGTCACATCAAAAAGCAGTAATCTAGGAATTCTCAGGCAAGACATAAGTGAGTAAACCAGAAGTTGGCGTGGTCACTGTGCATTGTTGTTGCCAGTTCCATTGTTTCCATTGGCATTTGTTGTGTTTATAGTATTAATACCATCTTGCTGAAGAGCATCTTTTCTTGGTGGCATTCTCTCATTGATCCTATCCAAACCTTTTGCTTCTTCAAAACTGCAGATTTTATGTTGCGGAGAGAATCCTCGTATTGCTTAACAAAATGCAAATTTGATATGTCAGTAATGGAAAAAGAAGTCGAAAGCATATACTTTTTCTAATAAATGATGCTTAAACACAGGTAGGAAATCAGCCACATAAATGTATGGCTCTGTATCTGTACTAGTAAAAGCTGCTCTAAGCTGCTCTCCTGATACACTCAATGGCTATCGTGACCTGAGTTTATAACAAAAAGCACAGAGTATGGCAAATATTCGGCAAGGAGGAATCAAGGTGCTTAAGCCCACTTGATTTCTTCTGCACGTCCCTGGGGTGGCCAGCTCTGAAGCCCTTTGCTCCCACTGCCAAGCTCAGCTTAACATCCCTGTGTCTCAGGGGAACACCAGTGAGATGTAAGCAGCACAGCGAGTGCAGCGGAGGCAAAGAAGCAAAGAGTCACAAAAGTAATCAGAGATTTACGTCCTGCATACACATTGATGGCCTGATCCTGCGGTTTTCATGCAGGCAAAACTGCAGGATATGGGTCACATTCTGTGCTAATCATGTGGATGATGGAAATGGACACGAGCACAGTCACTGGGTTAGCACTGCGTTTAACAATGGTGTCATCTAAATACATACGTATTTAAGATGCACATAGAAAACAAGTATTATTTTTCTACTGATTATTTTAATGACCGAGGTCTGCAGTTTACTTCAGACCTGAAAACAGTTAACCACATAGTAAGACTGAGTCCTTTGGGATGAAATAATTCTTTGGAGACATGAGCACAGCTTTCACTCACAACAATGGAACATCTTACATGTGTGTGAGAGAACAGAATACGGCCCTTGTTTATAGTTTTGGAGATCTGACTTCCTTAATTAAAAAACAAATGATAAAGTTATTAATTAGTGCTTCACAACCAAATCTGAAAGCACACAAAGTAGCTCTCCCAATTGCTATGCTGTTTGTCATTCACTTCATTGAATATTGAGCAAGAGGAAACTAAAGCATCTTTGAAAAAACTTCAGCAGCCTGAAGTTGAGTACTTGAATACCAAATAACTGGATGGCATTTTACTCAACATAGCTAAAAAGGGTGCACAGACAACAGCTTATTTAGCACAGAAGCACCAATAATCCATGGAGTTTAATATGCCTTGTACTGGCAGGATGGCATATATACTAGAAATAAATTTGGTCATCAAATTATGTATAAAATCCATAGGAAATAAAACACATTACATTTGTATGTCTTGCATTATCAGATGTGTTATGGATTGAAAAAAATATATATATGTTCAAAGCCACTAAAAATAGATTTTATGAGAAAAGCATGCATAAATAACCCTCCTTCCACACATAACCAGCCCTCCCAAACAAAATCTTGCAGTTGAATGCACTAAACATTATCATTATAAGGACTTCAAGACAACACCACATATCACAACATGCTATTATACAAAAACCTACTGCATATTTTGTAAAAATAAACAAAAAAGACAAAAAAAAACCCCAAGAACATCCCTAAAATATTAAAGATAATCATCATCCTGGAGCCAGAAATGAATGTTACATGTAAAAGGGATGAATCAATACAGTTGATTCATCTCTGCTTGTGCAAGTTGAAAGTAAAACACACCCACACAGTACTTTTGAATTCCCTCCCAGACACCACAGATCTCTGCCAATGGCAAAGACTCTGATCATACCTTTTTCAGCCTCAATTGCCTCTACAGTGGCTGTACAGAAGTGAGCAGATGCATGCAAAATGAATGAGAAAGATGAAGAGTGTAATATCGCACAGCAGAAAAGGCAATGATCAATTTAATATAGAATGCTACGCCAGATTAGATTAAAATTATTTAAAATTATAATTAAGGTTCTGGGGGTTGTTTTTAAGCTTAAGTGAAACTTCTCCTACATTTTAACTATTACAATTTATCAAGTCAAAGTATACCAAGAGAAACACTGATTACTGGAACTTCATTTTTGTTTTAAACTGTACATTTCTATGAGATTATTTTTTTTTCTTTAAAGAAAGCAACATAAGATGTCAATTAATGTTAAAGTTGTGGTATGGTTAAAAAGAAAATCTATTTGAGATTAACTTTCTGAAGATTAAAATGTATTAGTGAGCTTCATTAAATTACCAAGCAGGATGCTCTAATGTAACACTATCAGTGTTCTGCTAATAAGAAAATACTTCTCTTTTTATGGTTAACTCCCTGAAGTTAAACTTGTACTTCAATTTCTCACCATATTTTACGCTTAAATGAGTATCCCTGGGAACTGAACTGTGAAATTTAAACTATAAAAGACAAATCTAGCAAGTCATATTTACAAAGTCTCATAAATTGCTTAGTTGAACCAACAACAAAGCCTAGAGCATGAAGAGGTCTGGCTGTAACAGTCTTGGTGGATAATTTCATGTGAACATGAAGAAAAATCTATCTTACTGTTTTTACTGCAATAAGGAACCATGGTTAATGTGGTAATTTCTGAGGTGTGAGATTTTTCTGTTGCTTATTGTTTTAGATCTAAAAGTCAAAGCTATAATGTCAGGTTATGAGGATATCAAAATCAAAATAACCTACTTGGGCAAACCACTCAAGCAAAATACTTGTAACTAAGATCTAAACTGTAGCTGAGTTTCAACATTGCTAACAACTTACTGCCTCCCCTTCAATCTGCCATGCCTCTAATCACCTAATTTAATAAATTCTAATTGAAAACAGTACCTAGCAGTAAACCTACCTGCGTAGTGCTAGATACAGATGAACAACAATGGATATTAAGCACTACGCAGGTAGGTTTGCTGCTACGTACTGTATGTACAATATAGGCTTACCTATATTGAAGTGAATGCTAGGAAAACTAGCAATTTAGGAAAAGATGGCGTTAGAACAGAATTTGTCCAAGTGAATTAAGTTTAGTACTTCTCATTTCCTGGCCAACATGAACCAGACACAGCAGATGTATCAGCTGCCTACACTCTGCCTTAATGTTATGTAAAACCTTCATTTCCACTGAGCTACACTTAAAAAAAAAAAAAAAAGTTGCTTGAATTCCTATTAAAATACTGTGGAATACATAAGAATAATGCAGCATTTTGACTTCTACATACTGCACATTCCCAGTTACAAAAATAATAATAATGACCCTACACAACTCTAAAGGAGCAAGGGCAATCCCAGAGTTATACCAAAAATCCATTTGAATGGATGGCAATTTATGTTTACATTAGGGAAAATAAACTTTCTCAATTTGTAAAAACAAAGTAGTTTAAGAATTGCTTTAGAATATCACTGAATACAAGATATAACCAATTTGCCATATAGGAACAAAACTATGTGAGAAAAAACACCTCTTTCCACCATTTCCTGTTACCTGTGAAGTCTTTGTTTTCAATCTTTTCCTGAAAAGATCACGAATACTGATTTATCTCTGTAAATTATGTAGCTTGGTCATAAATACAGATTTGAAAATTTACACCTAAGTCATTCTACTAGTACTACTTAAGTTCCAAAAGTATCTTGGAATATACAGTGCACTTAAGAAAAAGGTAACTTTCACCTTGACACAAAAGAACAAACTGACTGGAAAATGCAAGCATTTGAAAAAGCACACCATAAAGACTCAATTTGGAAAATAATTTTGTTGGATTCTTTTTTGCAGGTACCTCTAGATAAAAACTATAACCTTCATAAGTCCTGATTAACCTAGAATAAACGTTGTATTACACTAACATATTAGTTAAACTAGAACTCTTTGTTCTGAAAATTCTCACTTTCACAGTAAAGTTTAATTGACAAAGCTGAAGGAACTCCATGGCATTACCATCCTCAGTTCCAACCTTCCCCTGCTTTACTAAGGGGACAGATCTGACACAAAATCCTTGCCAACATATGAAAAGAATTTAGAGATATACAAAGGCTATCATTTCTCAAGGTTTATTTTTATCCTAGTACATTAAAGCTAACTGGAAACAATCTTTGATTCTTTTTTTATAAAAAATATATACGTACATTTATGGAAAAAAAAAAAATGCAGACTTTTTCCATAGGATGTAGTTCATAGAATGGCCTGGGTTGAAAAGGACTATAATGATCATCCCTGTTTCAACCCCCCTGCTGTGAGCAAGGCTGCCAATTTTGCATTAATTTTTCAAAATTGCCTTTTAAAAATGGATTTATCTTTGTTTAACCCTTTTTACTGTAGCTCAAATTTCTAGTTTACCCTCAGATTCATCTGTTTTGCAGTAAGAATCTGTTCAACCATTTCCCACAGAGCAGCTCAATTCAATTGACTACTACTTCTGATGCCCCACGCAGCACCGTGTCATTGCCTCCAACCTCCAACTTGTATGGGAATGGCTGTTCCTTATGAAGCACAGGAGGCCTGGCTAAATGGATGCTTCCAACAGCAGCAGTAGCTGCTAAGATTTGAGAGGTATGTAAACACACACTCCCATTCCTTATAACTTTCACAGCTTTTTACAAATGTATTGGTAAACAGCCCACTTAGATCTTAGCAAATTTTATCGTGAATAAAATGGGATAAGCAAAAATAGTATAGCAATGGGTATTATTTTCTCAAATCTAGAGATTTGAGATAGTTATTGATAGCCTACTGATCAACACAGTGCAACATATTTCAAAAAGTAAGTAAACATTTGTAGTAGGAAATCTTACTATCAGCAACCATATTTCTGCTGAGAATATGAATTCACTGGTGTGATGGTTACAGTAGAGTATCAATTAGTGAAGCTTTATTTTATTTTTGATTTACTTCTAGTTCTGCAACTAAGCGTAACAAATCTGAAAAGTTCTTTTTGAAAACTGAGTAAAATCCTTATCTGTGAAAACAAAGTTACTGGAATTAAGGAGAACTGACAGTCAGCAGGAGATCTTTAGCACATCAGCGTGATTGAACAAATGATGTATATTAATGTAATGCATCAAGGAATATTGCCATCAGAAATTCTAGTCAAGAAAAAAAAAAACACCCACAAAAATCCAAAATGCATTTTGCATACTTTCCAAACATCCCACATTTTCAGTAATGCTAGAAAGCCGTATGCTTTATGTTAAAAAAATTTTCTAGTCAGTTTGATCCTCTCTAATACTTGCAATGTAACATGGTTAAAAATCTGTTAAATGAGTGAGAGGAGTACAAACTCATTTTTTTAAGCATAATAAAGTATCTTATTAAACAACGAAAATTAAAACTAGAACATATGCTTTTGGAATAGTTGGATGGATTAGGAAACGTACACCACTTCTTGTTATAGACATTCACAAAACAACCACATACATACACTGGACATATAAATTTACTTGTAGACATTATATGTCCACTGAGAAATGACTTAAAATGAGACATTCATGTTTCAAAGCTATAAAAGAACAGCTTTGATTATTTAATAGTAAATGTAGTGAAAGGGTTTAAAAAAACAGCAACAAAAAAAATCTAATAGAAAATTTAAAAATATTCAAATAAACAGCCTAAATCACAAAACAAGAAAAGCAGCTACTCTTGCAAAACAGATTGTGCAAAAATGTTATTCAGTTAATCAATATATCACAATCCTTCAATAGCTATAAAATTCAGTGGTCAAACACAACTGTTTTATACTTTCTATTAAATCTTGATAGCAAATAAAAGTCTTAGTATCTTATGTTGAGTGCTGCTGACATGAAGTCCACTTTCAGATGGATCTATTTTAGTTATCCAGCACTGCAACCAAACCTGGACTTCATTCTTGTAATACATTTGGTACAATCTCACAGCATTGTCTCTAAACCTACTTAATCATTTATGGGCCTTGTGAAAAAATATGATCCAATGATTCAACAAACTAAAAAAAAAAAAAAAAAAAGAAGAAAAACTTTTACAAAATATTCAATGAGCCAGATTACAGGTGTATTTTGTATAGAGTTCTTTTTATTTTCATGCAAAAAAATATATGCACACTTAGTAACACCCTTTTATTTTGATTTATTTACAAGTTTTAAATTCAATCCCTTTATTCTCAACTGATTTTATAACAATTACTGAATAATTTTCAAGTACATTATTGTTCAAAATGCACAGACAATGTGCAGCAGCAAATGCAGCAAACCTCAAAAACAAGGTGCTACAACATTGCTTCTACATCAAGAGACAGACAAGTGTCTGGGATAGTGGTTTAATTTTAACACTTATACAGACATACATCTATACCTAGAGAGAGACAGACAGATCTAAGAAAGCAGCTACATCTGCAGAGGAAGGAAACAGCATGTTACAAGGACAATTCAGGGAGGTCAATTGTACATAGAACATTTGACAAACAACATAGAGAACAAACTTTGGCATTAATTACCAGGGTACAAAACGTAGCACATTTCAATCTATCAATGGAGTGTAAAATGGAACTCTGCAGCCTGTAGTCATTTGTTAGGATTGATACCAGTGAGAATTTGACACTGTCAATGAAAATACTAACAGATATATAGTAAAGTCATTTTCATGGAAAGCAGACAAGGATGCAAAATTACATTGCAATTTTTGTATCTGTTACGACCAAATATCTTAATACCAGATCTACAAGGGCACCCCATCTGCACCACCTGAAAAATTGTAAACTGAGGATGCTCAAAGCCTGAAAACTGTGGCCTGACACCGCTAAACTCGTTTGCTTTTAGTTTTATACCCTGGTTAAGTATCCATTTCACATTGCCTGATTAACACATAACATTCCGCCTGTATCAGCCGCTAAGACAAGAACTGAAAAGCATAAGAAATTCCCTGCATGCATTATGTGTAGTGTTAGCGAAAGAGTGAGATGTGCCCCAGTCCATCTGAGGCACAGCAAGTTGCATAACATCATTACCACTTTGCAGGGTCTGTCGTCCTCCAGCCAACACTCCACTAGGTAACATTCCAGTGGGAGTCAAACCCTTGAGTGTCAGCACACTTTCACTTTCCTCCCTGGTGTAAGAAAAAACAGAAATGAAAATGTAAGTATCTGCTCATGAAATTGGTATTCTCTACTGGGGAGAAGGAGGGCCTATTTTTACTGTGCTTTATGCATGTCAAGACTGATGCAAATTCAAATTCGATCAACCAGAAAGGGGAAAATATTTCTATGCCATACTTGTCTCTCTGGCATCTAGAAATTACAAATACTGATTACTTTTGAACCAATGTAGGAGCAATTATTCACATGCAGACTTATTAGTTCTGAATGCAGCAGTACCTCATGAGGTACTGAATGTAACTCAGCACTATGAAGCAACCTACAGTTTCACTGAAAGCATCTATGCTCCAGGAGACACCAATTTCAAAAAATTAACCCTGTTTGAATACTTATGCTCTGTGGAAAGACATATATACACTATGCAAGTATTGTAACATACTGATATACTATATTTTGAGTAAATACAATCTCTGTCTAGCTTGGTACAAGAAAATGGGATCAAACAAATAGAACAGTTCAAAACAACAAAAGAGAAACAAACAAAAGAAGTCCTCAACTTTCTGCTATGACAGACATTTTCCCAGCCAGCCCGGACCTTCTCTTTCACGCTTCTCATTTCAGTATCGCTATTTTGGTATTGTCCTTCTCACAGTTGTAGTTAATCTATAGAATCCCTACAGTTGGAAAAAATCTCTAAGACCATATTGTTCAACCACCCATGTACTGCCAATATTACCCACTAAACCAAATGGCTGGACATGTCTCAAAAAATAACAATAATAAAAAAATATTTAACCAAAAGTACCAACATCGATGGGGTACACTGACATGCAAAATGAGATTCTAATGCACAGTGACCTCCCTGAAAAAATGTCTGGCATCTATTGTCCTGGAACAGAGATGTGTTTTCCTAACATACACAGATTAAGAAGGATTTTAGGAAAGCAAAAACAACTCAAATACCTGAGAACAGAGAAGACTCTTGCCATCTTGCCAATTGCACGAATTTTGTTCCTGATTATTTCTTTCCGTGCAGCAGCTGTACCTACTTTCAATGGAATAAGAGAGAGTCTCAAGCTCATTGGTATTTACAAAGCTGCCATTTTTGAGTGTATCAAATTCAACACAAGTACTTAAGTTCAGTATTCTTCCCAGGAGGTCAGCACCCAACACTCGGGGACACAATATTACAAAATTTTAGCTTCAGAATACTGCCAAAACCATAACAACTTCTGTATCCACAAAACACACGCAGAAAAGTTCAGGATGTTCACAAAGATTTGATCAAGCTGGCAAGTTCTAAACTAAAACCACTGTTACAGCATAGTAACTACCGTAATTCCTTTGCTTAAGTTTTATAGAACCCTAGAATCCTTAAATTTGGAAGGGATCTTTAGAGGTCATGTAGTCCAGCTCCCCTGCAACAAACGGGGACATGCACAGCTCGATCAGGTTGCCCAGGGTTTGGTCCAGCCTTACCTTGAAAATCTTCAGGGATGGGGCATCAACCACATCTCTGGGCAACCTGTTCCAGTGCCTCATCACCCTCACTGTGCAAGACTTTATCCTTACATTCAACCTAAACCTGCCCTCCTGAAGCTTAAGAGCCGTCTCCCCTTGTTCTATAACCACACACCCTGTCAAAGAGTCTGTCCCCTTCTTTCCTGTAGCTCCCCTTTAGATATCGAAAGGCCAGAAATCACTTACTGACATCTCTGTACATCAAAATGCAGGTATGTAACTTGACACAGAAGTAAAAGATAAAGACAAAAAAAAAAAGATAACTGCTAATTCTTGCACAGCTGACTGAGAGAAAACAGGCTAATTTGCTTGATTTTATGTCAACTCCCCGAAACATACACCTGCACTCACTAAAAACTGAACTGAAATGCCAAAGAACTGAAGTGTGACTTCCCTTACCGATGAATTCCATGTTCCATGTCACCTTAGGTTTGCATCATTTGCAGAAATTGCTAATACCAAAGGCATGGAATAAATATTGCATATTTCACAGAGCAGAGAAATGCCATTTGTAATAGATAAAAGTGAAGCCAAAGCTCTGAGAGGCTTTGGATTCAAATGAGAGCTGCCTTTGCCTGTGCTGATATAAAAACAGAAGTGCATTTCTTCAACATTTATTTTTGTTCAATGTGAAAAGGCCAAACTTATCCTCCTTTCGAGGACAGCCCAGGTCCCCTGGAAAGTACAGGCAGTTGTGGGGACACCAAAACAGCACAACTGTCAGATTTTTCAGACCGCCATTGCAAAACACAAGGCTTTCTGTCACACATGAGTGGATGGACTTCCCATCCTGAACACCAAACCAAAGAAAATACAAGAGAAAAAAGGCAGGAAGAGACCTCTGTGCAAACGCAATGAAAGACCTCTGGGGTATGACAACTATCAGTCAACCTGCTGAAATGGAATGAAGAAACCCACAAACAACTAAGTAAAGAGTTTTTAGACAAAGGAACAACACTGATGAAATACAGACACCAAAAAAAATGGTGGCTCAAGAAAACAAAAAATGCAGGAATAGGCCGAAAATTTTTATTTTTACTGGAAGTGACTTATCTGAATTTTTAATATTTGAGATGTTCTTACTTTCTCTCTCTGAATATTACTAAAGAGCAGTATGAGATCTGGATTGAGAAGAGAGGTCTTTAAGTTTCTGAAAAAGGTGGAGCAAAATAAGCGTCCACACATTTTCCATGTTTTCTCTCTCCATCACATCTCTCAGTTTTCCTCCTGCCTTCACCTGCTCACTCCTTGAAGACCACTGCTGCAGGGCTGTAATGCACAAGCTGAACTGATTACAGGCGCTGCTGGTGCCCATATCTCAAATCTGGTCAGTCACTACGCCATTAAAGGAGAAATGCTGGTTTGGGGTATTGTTTTTTAAATGATCATATGCTGTTCCAGCCTTTCAGAGGGAGCAAGTCAAGACAAAAGGCCAAATATATTACTCCAGGCAGCAGCACTATTAAACCCACGTTTGTCCAGAGTTAAAACAGCAAAGTAGCATCTGCCTGCAGGAGAGTGTCTTGATTACACCCTAAACTAGAGGGGACATGACAGAACTCTCCCATTGCCTCCTCCATGGGAGTTCTATAATGCTCATACTGTTACGCTCCAAAGAATTCACATAAACGTTGCAAGTAACCCTATGACCTCATGCACAAAATGAGAAATATTCTTTGAAGTGGCAGATATATACAGAGAGCAAACAGACTACAAGGTAAGTAACAGCCAGAATTTTCCTGCACAGAAACATCCACCCTGTGATTTCTGAAAAGTGGGTGACAGACTCAGAATTTAAATGAGTAGATGACTTCTTAAATTTTGCATCAAGTCATCGTCAAAATTCCATAGACAATCAGAAGCACTTTTTTGATATCTCAACTGAAGGAAGCTAAAGTTCTATACAAACCAGGTTTTGAAACACTATAAACACATTCCATGCACAATCTCAGAAAATGCTCACAATGAAATTTTTAAAAAAGCACAACAGAGGACTGAATGCTCCCTACACATGCAGGGCCAAAGATACAATTTTAGAAATAGGTAAAAGAATGAAATTCTACAAAAAAAAAAAAAAAAAAAAAAAAAAAAAAAAGGGAATGGAAGAAAGGAGGAAAGATTCATGCACAGAAAGACAGATGTCTTGGAATATGACTTCTGATTAACAATATACATAAACCTTTATAAATGTGTCTCTAAAATGGGTAATAAAATAAAATACTGTACGTCTCTCAACAAAAATATATTTTCTGCAATAATACTTATACCAGCGGGTTCTATGAAGTCATATTTCAAAACATTCCTACTGTCTGATCTGTACCTTTTTTACTGCCATACATGAGTCGCTCTTCAGATGGAGAGTCCAGAAAAAAAGGAAGTGAATGATGGAGAAAAAGATGAGTGAGACAAATAAAATAAAGGTATTTAACCTGGCAATGGTAATAAAGAAGGAATGGAGAAGAAATGTGAAAAGAGAGAATGGGAAACTGCAACACTTAAAAATGCATTATTTGAATAAGAAGTGGAATTGTTGAGTATAAGTTAAAATTTGATGATAAACAAGTGAAACTTGAAAGTCAACAGTTAAAAAAAAATTATTCACACAGAAAGATAAAGCATAGACAGTACCTAGGAGGCATTAAGAGATATGCATCAAGCAAAGAAATTGTTAAAGGAGACAGAAGAATAAAATAAATCAAATAAGGAAACTGGAACTACTGTACTGAAGATAGGGCATATGCAACCAGCTGATGAGCACACTTTGGCTGGACCACCTAAATCCTAGCGTACCAGAACACCATCAAGTCTTAGCCTGCAGATGCTTGGTGTAATTGCTTTATCTTCAGTTCAGTAGGATTACATGCACAAGAAACATAAATTCACTGTCTGCAGGATCACATCTGAGACTATTTCTAATTTTTCATGTTTCTATCAACAGTCTAAATGGCAACAAAGTTCAAGTGGCTCATAATCAATGCATTCCAACCTAAAACACACAGCTGCCCAAGCACAACACAAATCTGCTTCTGAATTTTTACACAGTAACTATCAAAGATTAAGAATTGGATGATGTCACTACCATCTCTTTTAAATTATTTTTAGTGTTACTCAAAGGCCGTCAAAATGTTCATTCCTTCCCCTCAACCATCAACCAATTCAACAAGTAATTCTGTTATTGGATAAAATGAGGGATGTCTGAAAAACTTTCAGATGTGACATAGAGCACTACTGTAGGAAAAATAAAAAAGGACGATGCGCTAAGTCTTAATGTTACATGCCTCTTCATCACCATTTTAACGTTGCTTCTTTATCACATTACAAACACATCCTTAACAATCCACTGTTCTTACAGTTCACAAGTTGTTATCTATTACATACGTCGGTGTTACATAATGTACACAAAGTTCATTAACTTTTATGTTTTCAACTCAAACACCAAGATTTAAACTTTTATTTTATACTTTGCCTATAAGACTTTGCCATAAGAAATATTAGATCTGACTTTTGACTGCATCAACTCTTCCCCAAAGAGCAGACATTAAGAAATTAAAGAGCTTAAAAAATTCATAATAAATATAAAACACCAACAAATTCTGAAAAATTTTCAAAAAGGCTTTAAATATGTCATATATGAATTCTTGCAAAGGATACAAACTACTCCTTCTTGATGACAAACACGAAAATAAAATTTCCTTCCCTCCTTCAAAATACTCATCATCTAAGGAAAAATTTGAAGGCAATTTCCTTCAAATTTCAGGTAATATATTACATCACTTTAAGTTAATTACTACTTCAGAAGTTATTTCAATGAAAAAAACCAACATATCTAATATTAAACCCTACCGTCAAATTGATCTTCTCCCTCTGTCATCAGTTCATCATCAGAACAAATGCTCAAAACATTCACCAACATTTCTGTTACTGTACGTGAAAAAAATAAACTTTAATTAATTGCCTCAAGAATTTTACATATTTCCAAGCACACAAGATGAAACCAGCCACCAGCAACTGTAGTGAATGAGCTTCCCACATGATAAACTCTTCTCTGCAATCTGGTCTCTAAAACATGTGCTGTCATAGAATTTTAAAAGCTCATAGAAATAAGCAGTCAAAAAACACACCACCTATCAAAGACATGGCATGGCTTTCTTTCCTATCTCACAAGGAATTATTTTAGATAAGAATTATCTTCTTGTACATTAGTGTTTTTTACATCATGGCAAGTCCTTATTTCAATTCAATTTTATGCAAAATTTACTGATACGTGAAAATATTGAGACTACTGAAATTCACATATAAAAGGTGAAAGCTATTCCATTCCTGACACTTGCAGGCGCCTTGCAGAAGCACCAAAGTAGAAAAATATTATGATAAAAATACTATGTAAACTGCTTGTCAATGTTTAAGGGGATTTTGAAAAGACAGTGGATACTCAAACTTTTTTTTTTACTCAATTTTGCTGTCTCTGGGAATTTCATTATTCTATCACACAGCCTTTCACATATATATATATCAGACTTTTCTTTAAAATGATCAAGCTTCTCCCACCTTCTGAAGCACTTAGAAACCCATTCCAGAAGTTCAATCAGATGTTTAAAAACTTTGTAGTTTCCTGCCTACATTTGTTCATGACTAATTCATACAACCCCTGTGTTATCTGCTATGCTATTCTTCTCTGTTCTTGATCAAGAGTTACTCTCTACTTTGCTGAAGAAGTAAAATGAATAATTCTGACTTTAACAGTGTAGACCAAACAATATTGACACCATGTCCTTCACTGACAGTTGAAGTATGTGCATACCCAAAGGCCAAGACAAATTAAAAGGTCCATTACTTCAGCAGTCTTAGGCATACAGTCTCATTATCAGCATTGTACAAAAGTAAAATAAACAACATGAACATTTTTAATAGCAAAGGGTTATTTAATGCATCATCAAGTAAGACAAGGAGAAACAAAAATCTCCTTCTAAATGTCCTTGGTTTAAAAACAATAAAGAAGTGTTGAATGGACTTCCTAAAGACAACATAATCAAATCTAGAATCCTAGGTCTGCTTGCCCATAAATACATTATATCTAGAGTATTTTTCCAGGAAACGCAGAGAGCTTTCCAGAGATCCTTCATGAAAATAGCGGTTCTGTCATGGAAGCATTTTAAATAGATCCCAATAGCCTCTAACCTCATTGCTTACTAACTGGAGACTACTTGGAGTTCTATTATCCTAGATTTAGAGTTATTAACTCTAGAGGGGAAAAAAAGGACCTGTGCTAAATTATCTTTTACAAGAAAAAATATAGCAGAAATAAGTTATTTTAATGAAGGTCAATCTGTTATAACTACCTAATAAAGTTAAAATTTTACAGGAACATCTCAACATAGTTTACATCTATAGCCAGACAAGATTATTAATTATATATGACCTAGCCTTTTGTAGAATAAGAACAGTTTTCCTGTCAACTTGATTTGATGCTCAAAAGTAATTCTTAACAATGCAGGTAGATACAACCTTAGTGGAAATTATAGTTTCTATTAAGACCTTTGCTTTATTAGATCCAGTTTAACTATTTGCACTGAAACAGGTGAAGAAAACAACCAGAACTGTGAAGCAAGTTGTACATAACATATCTTCACATGCCAAACAAAACTCCTCAAATCAGTCTAATAACTTCACCAAATCTCTCTAATCAAACATCCAAGTATTCCATCCAATAAAGAAAAATGCAAATTTTCACAATAATGAATTCAATTAATTAAAAAAACAAACAAACAAACAAAAAACCTTCCTGACAACAAACAGAGAAATTGGAAAGAAATTCACTGGCATGTAATTTTTGCCTACCTTTTTCTCCAACAAATGGCAAGGACCATGTAAAAACATCCATAAAATTGGGTAGCCAGTAAGGATGAGGAGAACAATTGAATTGACGAATATTCATCACATTGTTTTCATATTTTAAAACAGCAGCTAAAATAAAATTCAGACATTTTGGAAAGAATGATTAAAACTTATGAAGTACTACAAATGTAAAGTCACAGGTTTGTTTTACTTCTATTTTATATTACATACAAAGTAATCCCAGAGATAACCCTGCTTTCTTTTGCAGTATTTAAATGATAGATATCTAATGGTGAACTTCAGATTGTATTTTATTGCAAGCATTGCAGTTTAATGTACCCTTACATGTCAGATTATGCCTCTACTATCCTTTTAAAAGTCCATAATGAGCAATGATTTCAAAAGTTCCTGGAAAGGTTGATTTCACCAACAAAATCTGAACTCAGAATAGCAGCATATCCAGATTCAGGTTCTACTCTTGCTGTGTGTCTTCCCACATTATAAGGCTGCATTCTGAATCCCTGTTGTAGAGTGTAATAAAACCACTGAAATTCCGAAAAATCAAAGAGAAGAGGAAACACAGAGAAACACAGCAAAAACAAACAAACAAACAAGCAAACAAACAGAAGCATTCTAAGGCTAAATAAGTCTTGGTTGTACTTTTCCCTACTTAAGTTTGCATTACACTGGGAATAGCTGATGGGAAAAAGGATTCTTAAAAATATCCACAGAGATGGGAGAAAACCAGAAAGCCAGTACTGCTACTTCTCCTTTTCTTTACTCCTTTACCTTTGATACAAATAACAGCAGCTCATCTTACTCTCTAGACGGTTAATCACCCTACATCGTTTGAGTTGGGTAGATGAGGGTTTCAGAAGCAGAAAGGAGAAAATTCAATGTACTGAATGGGCAAGAGGTGTTGGATTCAAATGAATGCTATTTGTGCTGGAAAGCATCCAGGCAAATTTTTAATATCTCCACATAAGGGGACTCAACAATCTCTTTGGGCAGTACTCTAGATGTGGCCTCACTAGGGCAAACTACAGAGGGAGAATATTCCTTCTGCTGTCCGCACTTGTTTTAATTGCTCCACAATAACACTGGCCTTCTTGGCCACAAGGGCACACCAAAAGGTGGCTTTAATCTGCTGCCCACTAGAACACACAGATTCTTCTCTGCAGAGCTCCTTTCCAGCAGCTCCACCCCCTACTTATACTGATCCAGGCGGTTATTCCTCCCCAGATGCAGAACCCTACACTTGCCCTTGTTGAACCACATTAGGTTCCTCTCCACCCAACTCTCCGTCCTGTCCAGGTCTCAATGAAGGCAGTACAGCCTTCTGGTGTTAGTCACTTCTTGCAGCTCTGCATCATCAGCAAACTTGCTGAGGGTGCACTCTATCCCTTCATCCAGGCCACAGATGAGTATGTCACATGTGCTTCTTCATCACATAACTTTTAATCAGGATTTTTGGTCGTCTACTAACTGGCAGAAAATTTTTGATATTAGACTGCTTATTTAGCAAGACATTTTAACGGCACATTTTTATTTTATGATTGCATAGTTATTAATTACAAGTTCTTACCTTTATTATTGTAGACATCCAGGTAATTAGGTGCTGAAAAAATTGTTATTAATGATGGAAACCCTGTAGTTTGACTTTTCCTGTACATTCTATAACTGTAAAACCAAACAGATTATTTTACATCTTACAGGAATAAGCAATTATCTTTCATTTCACATTGTGAATTATTTCTTGAAGAGACATACTTACCCTGCATCTTGTGCTTCGTGTGCTCTAATGATTGACAACAAATTATTATTTTGCAAAAATTCACAAACTGCTGGATAGCTGTGAAATGAAAACAATTGTGAGTAAAATAAATCCTCTAAAAATATGCAGGAAGACTTAGTATTAAAATATTAAGTAGATTCTAGCATACTCTCACCTATAAAAGTATGAGCATCCTCTGACTGTATTATGACTGAAGTGCTCTGGTGAACTTTCATTTCCAAAATCTTCTGAAGGATCTGACCACAGTAAGTCACACATTGGTCCAAATGCTGGAGGTTCTTTGAATCTATCTAACTGTTTGAGAAAAAAGCAAGAGCACAAAGATTCTCTGAATATGAAATCTGTAAGTTTTATACATTTTTTAGGCTACATATCCATCAATACCAAGCATTTACAGAATGAAATCCAACTATATCATAGATAAATAGGTTTTGTATATTTTTTCTCTCCTTGTCATGAAATAAAGCAGAAGCATGCCAAAAGAACCCAACCTGTTAAGAGCAATAAAGTTTATTAGTTGTAAGAAGAAGTGAGATAAATTCCAGACTGATGGATATGCATAATATAAAGTCAAGTTACAGGCAAGGAACAAGATGGTCCTTTTTCATGCACATGCCGCATCTAGCAATCTGGAGACACTACCAGGAATTAGCCAGGAAGAGAAACAGTACAGAAAATAGAAATGATAAAAGAAAAGCATGAATAATTAGCACTGACTATAACAAACTAAATACATCATCCAAAAAAATCCAAACCCCAAACCAAATCCCTGAAGCAGTCATCTCCATAATGGATCATTCAACACTGAAGAGATGACTAGCTCAGCCATCCTGGTCTTCTCTCATACAGACTCTATTTCTCAACTACAGCCCTGGTGTAATGGGCCATGTACATTTTGGAGGGTCTTTATGTTTGCTTTTTTTTTTTTTTTTCCTAGCTGCTTCTTAAAAGATTTCCACTTAAAAACACTTGTTTTAGCAGCCTTTAACATTGCTGGTAACCACAGTGAGAAGGGCCAGTAATAAGGACAGTACCATTTGTTAACATAAAAGGAAAATACCCTGTTTATGTAATAACATTCAACGAATCTCTGATGTCCCAGAAATGAAATCAGTTTTCCCAGATTCAATGTAAAGTTTATTTGATCTTTATGTAGCTGGAGTTTGTTCACAAGATGATTTTATCCAAGAAATGTAGGAACGGTTCTTTGATGGACAGTGCATTTATCTCACTTTACCTCCCATACCAAAGAAGATGACTTTGATGGTACTAGAGAACACTTAACTCTTCATGACAGGTTCGAAGGGAGGTTTGGTGAGCACCTGGTGAATTTGAGTCTAACGGTCCATAGGAATCCATTCAAATATGGAACCAGCAGTAGTGCCAAGCTCTCTCATGCCCTGGAAAATCAGAGCTCCCGAGGCTGCCACCTGTAACATAAGTGGAAAGGTCCAGATCTTTACAAACTCCTGCCAGATAATGGCAAGGCAGGTATTAACTGAAGTTGTTGTTGGAATTTATTCAATATTAAAAATCCAGTGGTTTAACGTTTCCCACACTGGATGATAAACCCAGCATTGTATATTCCTTTGAGATTGAAGAAATCAGTCCATCAACATCTGCAAGTACCTGAATTTCTGTAGATTAAACCATCAAGTTTCTAAACCTCCAGCAAAAAAATTGGGTCTAGAAAGTAACAGAAGCATTCAAATAAGGAAGTTTCATTGTTTCTTGATTGATGTTTCCTGCAACACAGAAGGCTGAAAGTCTAGAAAGCATTTCTAATAATTTTTTTCTTGAGATAGTGTTCAAGATTTTTTCTTATGACTTTGGCCAAATGGTTAGAAGAAGACATTATAAATGAAAAGGTTTTGCTGCTGCAAGCAACGCAATTCTTCCAAGCTTTTCTCATAGCATTTGGAACAATAACGTAAACATTTCTAGAAGTAAGGAAGTCCACTTGTAAAAAAATTAATATACTTACATGCACATCAAATCAGCTTATTCTTCACTAGACAATCTACCAAGTGGCACTCTTCTCAAGACATTTCAAAATTTAAGAAAATGTCACTTCTACTCAACCCAGATCGTATATATCAAATCAGCAAAACTAGCTTAAGGGTGTCTCTAAGTAGTGACAGCAATAAAAATTAATAAAGGACAAGTCAACTCAAAACAACCTTTGACGAATTACCATTTCCAAGCACGTTGTGACCATGACAAAGCAGAATCTCAATACAAATTAGGTTAATGTATTTCTAAGAAAGATTAAAGTAACTGAGAATTGAGACTTTTTTTTTTTCAAGAATAAGAATCATTATGCCTGGTGTTAAAAGAGAAATGGGTATTGTATTTTTTAATGGACCGTGAGATATTTAAATCTAATTAATTTCCAGGTACTGAGAAGTCAAGGCTGCTGCACTGAGGTGTACCACACCTCCACACAGATGAGAAAACTGAGGAGTAGCAAAACCTTGGGGGTAGATTAAGGTACAGCAAATTAAAACTACTATATCTCTGAAGCAAAAGACCTTCACAAAAGTTTTATATACTCGAAGACACAGACATCAATTTTAATTAACCTGTCCTAATTTTCCTGAGAACTATTGTATAGTAATATTCTAAAAAACACATGAAGGTCAGAGAAGTGCAGCAGTCAGATATTACTAAAGAAAAGGAAATTTCAGCATACCACAGAAAGGAAGTAAGGGATTATAAAGAGATTTCTAGGAGTGCCCCATACATTTCAAGGCTCTTTACTGATCAAGCCTACGTGTCACTGAGAATATAATAGAAGAATGATCATCCACTGTAAATCAGGAAAAAAAAATATATCTCTTTGCCTCTCTTCTTTAAGAGACAGTTTAATTTTATACAGACATTTCCATATCAATCACTAGGCTTAGAATCAAGATTCACAGAATACTGTTTCAGCAGAAGTCTTGGCAGTAAAAATCAACAAAGCAGCATCTCTAAATTGATGATCACGTGTCTGAAAGGGACACTCTACCAACACAACCATAACACTGTTGTGAATGAACTTCACAGGACAAAAATTAGAGTATTACAAGTTTCACAAACTTACAGTTTCCCAGAAATAAGAAGAACTTGCAGCAGTCTTGACTGTTAGGATTTACTGTCACAACTACTATGACATCTGTCCTCTACCAGAAATGAGTTTGCCAAAAAAATAATTATTTTGTTCACGTAGTTAAATAACTTTCCTGCAAGTCAATAACACAGACAGAAGAGTTCACCTAGAAAAAAACTGCACCTACATAGGATTTTTCTTTATTTCTGAGTAATGACTAAACTGCTTAGAGCTGTGATTTCCCTTCACGTGCTGGATGATGATGATGACCAATTTACAGAAGAGAACTGTCTCCTTATAAGAACTTCTGCTAATAAACCAGAAGGCTCACAATAGTATACAATTGTCTTGATGTTTACAGAAGTTGCTTCACACACCACATTTGTATCACAAGTGTATAACATTTTCATAGACATAAGAAGAAGACACCTATTTAATTTAAATACATGTACAATATCAGTGTATGCCAAGCTCTAATGCAGCTATTGAAGCCGCTGCCAACCTGTGAAGACTGAATCAAGCTACCAAATGATTCTTCAAAAAAAAAAGGCAACAACATTTCTAACAATATTGTCTTATATTTATAAATGTGCTTCTCATCAGCAGCAATATCCAGTGCAGATTTTAACATATGTATATAAACACAAGCTTATAACTCATCCTAATGTAGCCTTGAGCTTTATAAAAGCAAATGTAAAGGCCAACATAACAGAATTACTTTTCAATTAAATTCACTTGACACTTTGAAATCCGATTAGCTCTAAGACTGAGACTAAAAGAAAAATAAATGGCAATCCCTTATAACAGACTGTTTCCTTCATGCTACTTTCCAGAAAGCTCTGACAATCTTTCTTTGCAACTGTGATGCAGTAAGAGCTAAGGCCTCATCAGAATGGCACAATTTACTTGCCTTTCCTTTTCACTTCTCTCTCTCTCTCTCTCTCTCTCTAAACAATGCCTACAGACATCTGCATGTTAAGATTGACTTGAAAAATGCAAAACATTTCAATACATTTTCCCATTTTCTACCACAGAACTTGTATATATGCTTCATAACTATTTCTACCATTTTATTCTCCTCTCTCATCACTCTCCTTGAATGCAGTATTTCTAAGTGAAATGCACTGACATTCTCAGCCTCCAAAATGGCCCAATTCAGTACCAAAAAAACCCACAAAAAAACCAAACAGTTTAGAAGTGAGATACAACTGGACAACAGCCTCTAATTCTGAGGAGAGGGAGAAGTAAAAATGGAGTGCAACCAACAGAGACAATTCTAAGAAACAATATACAAGAAAAGAAGATACAAAAACAAAGGGGGCTATCAATATTTACAAATATTAGTACAAAGCAAAATTAGGAACATACTTTTTCCATCTCTCTGATATTTTGATCTTTTTTGAAACTAGCTCCAACATACCCTTGTTCCATACGTATATAAACTTATTTTTTTTCTCCTATCTCACCTGTAATCCCAAAGTTTTCTTAGAAGCAACTATTTCTATTTTATGCTGCTATCAACTACTTTCCAGCAGTCACTAATCAGGACAGGAACAGGTATGATTTCCAAACACATCAAGCAAAATACAAAGCCCCAAATACAATACCTCTAATTGAAGGAAGAGAGAGAAAAGCCAGAACACTGATACAAAATTACAAGTTTCTGTAACACTCGGATTCTGTTTCATCTTTGAGCTTTTGAAAATTCCGATGGGGCAACAACCCCCCCTAATGCTACAGCAGCATTGCCATTTGTACGCTCTAAATAGGAGTAATAACAGCCAAGATGCCCAGCTGCACTGATAAAATCAGCTACAACTAATTAAACAATTTCTAAGAAAATAACTGAGGCACCAATCTATGCTTGTCATTTCAACTTCAAATATTGTGCTTTACGTCCCATTCAAGTCTACAAAAAGGCTGTTACCAACTGCTGGAAACCTACACTTTCATTCAGCAATCTGAAGCCTTCTTCCAAACTTAACATGCTTCTGAATCCTTTCAGAAGAGATTTATAAATATTTCCACGTATTCTGAAAATACTGCAACAATTTCAGTTTTTAACTTCCACAAATGGTTAATGGGAGCACTTCTTCCTTAAGATGTGTAACTCAATTTGTATGCAAAATCTTCTAGGAAGCCCATGAAATTGTTTATAATTATTTCATTTTAATCTAAGTTCATTATGAATATAAAACTTAATCTTACAGTTGCCATAAAACTCAATCAATTCTATACCAAGCGTAGCAATTAGATTTTCTGCTAGAGAATACTATTAGAGTTTCAACTGCGTATTTTTTTTAATCATAGCCTCCATTTCTTGTACCAAAAATTCCTATTACGAAGTAAAAGAACTATAAATTCCCATCAACAGGCTGAATCATTACAAGTAACAGAACATTAAGTATTATAATCTAGAAACACATTTCAAAGTGTTCACAGCTCTAAAACAGACATTTGTAACCAAAATGCAACCAGACAGCCTCATTTTTCTCTGTATTTTCACAAATTGCAAAATATATTAAAAATATAATTTCCTTTATTACATTGTAAAAGAAATTCCAAATGGAGGGAAAAAAAATCTTACAGAAGTGCATTAGTTATACCAAAGCCATTGTAAGAGGGATATTACCCTAAATATCTAAAAACTGTAGAATATCCACAAATGTTCTAATACTAGCATCACTACCACACACACAAAAAAACCAATAAATTATTGTTTTCTCTTTTTTGCATCTTTAATGAAGAAGACACAATTTTCTTATTTCTTGTAGTTTAGAGAAAAAGTACAGGAATGACTACTGAGCCATGACACATACTAGAGCCTTCCATGACCAAGTAGTACTGGTGTATTTTGGCAAAGGCTCTCAACAATATAAGTGATAACGACTTATAAGCAGACAAGCCTTTACAGAAGGAATGTGCACCTTAAGTTACATAGATTGTCCAAAAAGCTTTTCATAAGAGAGAAAAAAAAATATGTTTCTGGTCCCTTCACAAGCTTCTGTTTCTGAACAGAAATAAGTATATTTGGTATTTGGTATAATCAGTTCCTCTAAGGATTTCAGACACAAGAAAGGACACAACTAGACATACACAAGGAATTTTGGAGAACCACGCAAAATGCATTCAAGCAGCTGATTCAGTGCAAGGGAACACTTGTTCCTCTCATCTTTCATCTCCTCTCCATTGCCCCCCCAATGAAGCTCAATTCGTTATTTCTAGTCTTCAAACAACTGGTTATCTTTTTTTTTTTTAATTTCCTATTGAATAACTCAAATGTTGAAAATAAGACCTAGCAATAAAGCAACACTCATGCCAGGCTGTTTTCCAGTTTTTCAAAACCTGAATAATCAAATAATCAGGACTCTTTTTTGGAAGAAGAGCTATGTCCTGTAGTCAAGATGTCAGCTGAGTTAACTAAAATAAGTCAAAAGGAAGTACGTAAGAAGGAAAGCAACTGCGTTGGAAACTCTCAGATACAATCTTGATCTGACAGCAGCATTCCATGCAAGCTGAAACAAACTTATTAGAAAAAGACATCTTATGTCATCACAACCGTCTTCCCTTTAAATTGCACTTATTCACTATTGAGTGTTTCAATTATTCAGTTTTTAAAAATTTTCAGTCTCCTCACTGATTCAGTCAGCACTTTTCCCATAGTGGGAAGCATTCTACTGTGTTAAGCAAATACCTACCAAATCTGTCATTTTAAATAGCAACCCAACTTTCTAGTAAACATAGTTTCATATTTTTTCAAAACACAGAAAAAAAGTGCACATGTTCAAGAGAGTAAAAAACATTTTTTTGAAGAAATATAAGAAGAACTGAAAAATGCAATTTGATTTACCACACGATTTCAAGACTGCAATTAACTTCTATTCCTGAAAGCCACAAGAACTTTAGTTCTTATCTAGTAAAAAGTAAAAGCTCTATTTAGATTAGGTATGAAGCTCTTATATGTACTACATGTCTTAGGAAAGAAACTCTGCGGAGTTTTTGAGGTGTTTTTGTGTGGTCTGTAACAGTCCCAGCTGTCCCCACTGAGACGTACAATGAAAATCGCGCTAGCTGGGCCAAGCAGGAGCCCTTGGTCTCAATTTCAGATCTTGATTTACAGTTCCAAAATAGACAAGAACAGAAAATAAATTGACAACTTCACAAATGTAAATTTGTTTATCATCACACAAATACCTGTACTTCCACTTAGTTTCAAATACACAAAATACTCACTCTCCTAATGTCATCTAGTGTATTAATTTCTGGTGAAAGTCCACCATGAACACAAAGAAACTGTTGATTTAGGAGAGCAGCAAGAGGGAGGCAATCAAAAGCTTCCATGCAAGCATCATAGACTCTTTCAGAGTATTTTATTTTACCTGCAAGAAAGAAAATACAAATTAAGAATTCTCACTCACAGGAAGTGCAGTCTAGTGGATCATAAACGTAAGGGTGAAACTGACAAATTACATGCACAAAACACTGCTGAGTTCAAATGAACATTTTCAAGCACTACGATAGCAAGAACATTTTAAAGAAATTCTCTTCCAGAACTAACAACGTTTTTCCATTTCTTATGTTCCTTTTTATTTTTTTAAGTGTGGAGAAACTATTTTTATTTAAAATAAATAAATAAAACCATAGAACTATGGAAACTGCTCCAAAAGTAATGCCTCCTATTTTATTATGTTGATTCATGACGCTGGAGGCAGATGTTATGAGGACAGCAGAGGGTGGACCTTCCTACCAATATTCTGTCACATTACATTGTGATGTGACAGATGGCAGCAGAGGGGCAGTCTGAAAAAGCAATGTCAAAGATGGAAGTGCGTATGACACAAAGGTAACTATTCCTCCATGTGGAAAAAACGACACCCATTGACATTCATCAATGCAGAACATTTGTGGAGACACCAAACAGTGGATGTGAACACAGTGAGGCAGTGGTGGAGCATTTCAGCAGTGGTGACAAGTGGGCCACCTCCACTGGTGCAGTTCTTTACAAGTGCAGCATACAGGTCCTGTTCATTGCTGGCAAAAACACACAGCTAATGGAGATGAATATATTGAAAAACAATGTTTTATACCTGGGAATTTGTTCTATCGAAAGTGTTACTGTGCTCTTTGTATCTGTTGTAGTTTCCATGGAAATCAATTGGAGGCATTACCTTCAGAGTGATCTACATATTTCGTGCTATATAAATATATAGCATACTTTTAAAAGTACTGAGAAGTTTGTGACTTCTCATTTACAGTGAAATGCTAAGAAGTGACTATACATTATATCACATAACTTCTATCTTTGTTGAAGAGTTTTATCAGAGTAAATGTTCCATTTATTAGTGCATCAGTACTAACATGGACTTTCAAAAGCAGGAGCAGCTTATGTCACCAAGAGTTACCTTAGTAAAATAGTTAAAATCAATACCCGAATGGAAATTACTCAGCAGCAGGATATTTTCTTGCTAGCTTCACAACTCTGGACAGCAAATTACTTCACACTCCTGATTACAGCCAAGAAACCAAAATAACTTTCTTCTCTTCAGGATTTATGCATTGATGTTTACTCCATAACATATCTTTACAAACAACAGCCTTCTACATACTTTAATTCCACTGCCACACTTAACAGCAAGCAGTTTTACAGAAGTTAGCTGGGTTTCCAAAAGTTTGCAGGACTTTCATTATACTAACAAACATCTCTCAAGCAAAATGAGAGACTGGAAATCATTAGGTGGGAAGTAAACTAATGTTATGTCCTTAGGGAATACTTACATTCTTGTTTAAAGGTAAAATACTCTGTTAGGTGTCTGCATTCATGGTTGCCTCTCAAAAGAAATAACGTGCTTGGATAGAGAATTTTCAGGACCCATAAATACAGCACACACTGTTGGAAAACAAAGACATTCAATAAATTACACTTTAAAACCTGTTACTACTTGGACACTTTGAGTAAGAATGCCAACAGCTTCAAATACAAGAATAGCTCAATATGCCATTACAAAAATACAACACTACTTCTCCCGACCCAATACATCAGTTCTGGACCAGAGCAATGCAACTTGTTCAGTTTCATTTAGGCAATGCATGTCTCAGTGCATAGAATCTGATTTCATAAGGAAAGCAGACATATGCTAGTGGAAATAAATGATATACAAAACCCATGAAAAAACTGTTTAATTTAAAGACATCTGTATTTTTTAGGGTGTTTTTACACTCAGAATTGACAGAATTTACCATTTCCACCCCCCAAAAATGGAAACGCTGCTTGTTTATTCATTGTTCAAGCAGTAAATCCAAGGTAGTATAGTAAATTTTCATACGTGATCATTATTGCAACATCAGTAGCAAAGAGACTTGGGGCAGAGCTGCAGAACATGCAAAGTTTTTGAAACTTAGAGCCTGTTACCATCCAGTACTCCTGAACACCTAAAGTGCATTTCTTAAGCTTCAAATCTAATTTCTGTATTTTTAACTGAGCACAGAAAAAGCTAAATCCCAGTAGTTCTGGACCACCTTGAAGTCATCTGCAAGTCACTACTATTTTTTTCCAATCAATATAGGAACCCTGAAGCTATCATTCTTCAAAGTTATTTTGCATAGTACGGTAAGAACATGAAGGAAGAAGGAAAACAAAGGAAACATATATTGAAAAAAACACCAGGGACTTCTACTGAGAAGTTCAGCTAAACTCATTATTGGTTTTTCATCTTAGCAAAAATATACAAATTAATCATTTTTCTATGTTTTTGTAACTGTAAAATATCTTGAGGTCCTGCAAGGTCCCTAGGACTCTTTAAAACTACTTCCCAGCAGAGTACATTCAATTTGTGACAAAACTGCCAATCATCAGATAAATACGTGAATTCATTTGGCAAATTCTGTAATTGTGAAATATTTTAGCTAATTCAGTTTGTATGAAAAATTTATAGACATTGGCAATCTTAAAGATTTGCAACAGAAAGGTGTAAAAGCAGTGCCTTTCTGCCAATAAACAAGTACTAAACAAAATTGCTGGGACTGTAAGCATGGTATCTAGTAAGTCAAAAAGATGTTCTTTTTTTTACTGTTCCCATACCAGCATATATATTTTTTATTACTACATACAAACTAGTTTTTTAATGTCCTATTACTCCCAGTATAGAAAAGAAGAACTTGCATATATTTATGGGAAGAATTCCATCTTGATCCTAGTTGTCTGCTTTATACAAATATAGTACAGCATGTAGAGAATTTTCCCATTAGAAAAGATGGCATTTGTTTAATGGTTTACTATTGAAGAATCAATGCAATTAAAAATGTTTTAGGATAGACTGATTAAAGAATTTATTAGGGAAAAATCAATTTTCACTCTTTGTGCTTTTAAAGATCTTACCTTCACTGCTCTGTGAACAGACAATTTAATCAAAACTATGTTACATTTCCAGTCATTAAGAGAAACTTTGAAGTAACCATATACGAAAACTCCCAAATTCCACCTGGAGGTTAAGTCACATTTCCTAAATATTAAGGATTAGCAAGCAAAAACTTATCTAGATTTTTAAAATTAATTTTTAAGGAAAATGTTGGAAGCAAAGGGCTAAATTTATTATTTTAACATACTGTTTTTTCCTTTCTCAGGGAAAGGTGGGCAAAGCATAAGCCCACCACCGTGTACTTACAGCATTTCAACTTCATTCAGAAAATCTGCCACATACTTTATTGCTGTTCCAATAGCCACTTTGAGCAAAAAAAGACACAGATTACCTCATGAAGAGAAGCATATTAAAAATCCTGGAGTGGTTTTCAAGAGTATATTTAGCATACCTTCACATGTTCCACAACTCTATTTAGCATTCCAAATATTATATTAAAAATTAAATTATAATAATATAAAATAAAACAAATGAGCCTGTTCTAATCAAAATATTCAAGCACATCCATTGTTCACAAGGTTTTCTTAAGTGTAATGCTTGAAAAGTTGTTTTGTTGCTACAATTCATCGTTGTTATGTAAAAGTCCTTGAAAAGAACAATTAACTTCTTTGTAATCACGAAGAACAGGCCACAAAGACCAAATGAATATACAGCACATTTATGTTGGAATTCTTCCTTACAAATGACTTTCTGAGGCAATCATTCTCGTTGTATCTCCTGTTTGTCTGCTGTCCCTGAAAAGTCCTTAGTGCATGTCATTCACAGTATATACACATGCCCACACATACATTATTAGAACTGTGTAATTTAAATACAAAACCTCATACACCAAACATTGCAAAATGCTATTTCAAGTGGCACGCTATTCTATTAGATCTAGTATCTATGAAGAGATCCCAAGCTGGCTCAAGAAGAATAGTTAACTGAAAAATCATACATCTGGAACTAATTGATATGAACATGTGAATATCTCTGATGTGTAACACATTTCATAAACATGCTGAAAATTAAAAAAATTATTTGAATTCAGAATACCTGAAAAAATAATGGCAGATATACACACATCATCCTTTGGGAATATCTGTAGTCGCCCTCAGAATTTTAGCAAAGAAAAACATCGATAATTATTAAATAACATTATATATATAAAAGGAGTCTTCTTTGTACAGATAAATATTTTAATACACTGAGAGAATGACCTCGAAGTCACGACTCACCTGGTCTCCAAAAACTTCTCAGTGCACCTTAATGCATATTCCCAGAGAAGCAACATTATACATAATAAAGCTACAGAATTCAACTGTCCTAAAACCCAATTGCAGAAAGAGGAGGAAAAACGAGTAAGTCTGGTGACCTCAACAGGACAGTCCAAATCGCGGGTCAATATCCTCCTGTAAGTAGGCCTTTGTAATAGAAGGAAGCAGAGCAAGGACGAACACATTCGCATGTTAAAGCAGACCTAAAATGTCATTTGCAAATCTCCATGAAAGCGTGCTTATAGAAAAATTTAGGACAAACAGATTAATATATTCAGTTACCTCTATACTAAAATAACCTCTGTCTACATAGTCACCGAGGAAGAGGTATCTTGTGTTAGCAGGTGATCCTCCCACTTCAAACAGCTTCATTAGATCAAAGAACTGGCCATGTATATCACCACACACTGCAAGCAAAAATTTTGTTCAAATTAATTTAAAAAAATCTAACAGAAAAGTTACTAAGTTATAGTTAAGTAAACAGCCACAAAGTATTTCTAATAAAAAGACATGCATAAAAAAGAAATAACAGGAGTTTTTGAAGCTTCACCTTCTGCTGCTCACTAAGATACTGTTCTCACTACACACACGTGGCAATGCTGATAACAATCAGATTTGCATCTGGCAGACTGTGGAATATTTTTCAAAAGTAGTTAAGACACAGAGAATCGAGGTCTTGAAGGCTGTCAGCAGCTCTTTACTGTCTCCCCCAGCCCCTTATGTATCTTCACAGATCTGCCTTGTTATGCATTTTGAAAAGGTACTGCGATGCTGCTCTGCAACAATTTGCTGTTTCCATGAGGGATTGAAAAAAGCAGGGAGAGTGTGCCTTTTGTTTCTGACTATCACACCCTTCAACATCATCATATCTTCTTTGCTACTCTTCTCCTTCAAATAACCACGTTCATTATTTCAACAGCGGATTTTTCTTGCTGTTTTAGAATATGAAACAGTACAAGATCAGTGGTCAGCACAACCTAAGGCGGAAGTGCCAAAGATAACACATGGGAAGACTCTGAAGAGCAAGCAGCAATGCCAGGTCATCTTGCAATTAAAAAAACAGACAAACAAACAAACAACCAAAAAAACAACCAAAAAAACAAACAACCTCAAATGGAAGAGACAACTGCTCCTAACTCCTAATTCCCACAAGAATTTCCAGTGCAATGGAACTCAGGAGTTGCTTTCCTGTTTCTGCAGGGAGGTGCTGCTGATAGCACTTGAAAGCCTACACCTTCTATCGACACAAATTGTCATTGGTCAGCTGACCAACAGTCTCTTTTGACTTCTTAGTGTGCATCAGTAAATTTGGGGAAACAAGTCCTTCTTATTCTGGAAAGAAGCATCAGATATGGCACTTGACAGATCGTTATTTTCTTGGAGTAAAACAACTGTCACAAAGACCTACAAAACATCAAACCAAATAAAATGCATCCTCTTCTATGTCACTTCCCTGAAGGTATCTACTCAAACTCTGCAAGAACGTTCCTCTTTTACAGCTTCCAATATACCAGTAACACAGGGCAGCTACTCAAATGAAGGGAAAGATAAAAATCCTAAACATGTGGACATTCGTTTTGATCTAGAACTTAAAAATACTCTGAGTTCAGGTCAGAACTCTTGTTTCCACCAGGTCAATCGTTTAATTTTCTTTAAAATGCCAGCAAGGATATACTCTTTCCATGCTTCCATTTGCCTGACATTAACAAATCAAAGCAGTCTGATGCCCTGAAATAAGCATTTGAAAACACTTAGTTTTCCAAGGCCCATTTAGAAGAAAGCTTTCAAGTTCAAGACCACTTGATTTGAACACACACAAAAATAAAATCTACATTCATTATTTTTAATTATAGATATGCAATATAAAATATTTTCCATGAATCTGGATTTTTTTTGTAACAACAACAACAAAAAATACATTAAGGACGCTAAGTCCATCTTTCTCCAGGTCAAATTCAAACAGAACTAGTCCAAGTATGAAAATACCCCTAATAACACTGCAAGTAAGTTTTGCATCACAGCAGATCAGTCCCATTATATTAATGATGACAAAACAATCTTACGCTTCCCAGTACTACTACCCTCACAAGAACATCATTTTGCACTCAGTCATCAGTTTCACCTACAGAGGAGCTATAAGGTGTATTTTTCACTCAGAAAACTAGGTCACAGTATTTGCTTCAAACAACAGCAATTAGCTTCTCTTCACATATTTAGATTTCAGAATAATTCTGAGCTCACGTATCTGTTCCAGGGAAACATCTCTGTTCCCACTTACATCACAGGAATCAGAAATTCATAATTCACAAGCATGTAACTACTTTCTCTTTTGTCATTTTAACCGTGCTTACTCAGTTTTAATCCCCAGCAGGTTCAATGCCTCAGTTTTATACAGTAATGAGCAGTGTCTTTTTTCAGGCCATCTGAGTGCTGCTAAGCAAATGCAACTGTGTGAGATTATTCAAAAAGATTACACAAAAATTTTATTCTAGTGACTTTTAAGAAAAACTATACTAGCGAAAAAACTGAATATTTTCAAAATTTAATTATTAGTGAAATAATCTAGAAACATTACCTGTAATTGGAGCTTCAACTTCTATCATAGTTTTTTCCCTCCGTAATATTGCAGCACCCTCATTGATGATTCTAAGTGCAATTTCCTCATCCACTCGACCTTCCTTTATCAAGTGGTTCTTCAAAATGTCAACCCTGGGTTTTCCATCTGTGTCAAACACTTCTTCAGATGTCAAACGATGCGTTGGTGGAAAAGGGACAGCTAAAATTTAAAAGAAGACACACTGGTTGCAACAATGCTATTCTAAATATAAATCCCAACAAGAAGAAACAGAACTGGATCTATCATGGAACAGCTATTAACCAAAGCAAATTTGCCTTGCATTCAACAGACTCAATGACACCACTAAAAACGGGATAGAATAGTGCTTTCTGCATACGTATTAAAAGAATTAACACCTATACATCTGCATAGAAACTACAGAATTACTGAAAGGCACAGCAAAATATACAACATTTGAAAGAGTCAAAACTGCCTTTGTAAAGGAACATGATATTTCTCAAAAACACTAGTATTCTCTGAAGGAAGAAGTATTTGGGACGCAGGAGATCTATTTAATATCCACTCAGACTTGCAAAAGGCACTTTAAAATATGGCCATCATGAAAGACTCTTCAAAACAATTTAAAAAAACCCCACAAAGGTAGTAACAAAAGGATAGAAAACTGTTTAAAGGATTGTAAGAAAAAGGAGGTGATAGTCAGCATGCAGAAAGGAAGGTCACAGGATCACCCTCCTAGGATCTGTGCTATTTAACATATTCATAAATTACAGTGAAAAGAAGGTCACTCATAGAAGGGTGCAGTTTTCAAGAGATAACAAGTACTCTGGACAATGAAGAACTGTGCAGGTTATAATGAGCTTCAGTAGAAATAGCAAATGGCTCAGCAAGAAAACACAACATTAAATATTAATAAATGTGAATTAATGAAGGAAATAAATTCTAACTTTACATATAAAAATCACAGATTATAAACTTACTACTATTATTCATTATCAAGGTCTTCCCTACTGTTCTAGAAAAATACCCAATTAAGAATTACTAGCTAGGGAATAGAAAACTAAATACGACAATTATGCCACTGATAAATCTAGTAGGCAATTCGAGTTCACTCATATTATAAAGGGAAAATAATAATTGAAAAAAATAATTAAAGAACAACAACAACAAAAGTTCCAATGGTTTCTACTACAGGACTAACAAAGGTAAGCTAGAATTCTTCAGCCTAAAATTATGAAAACTAAGGGGGACTGTGACACAGATCTATGGCAGCATCAATGGACAAGGGGAAACAACTCTCCCTCAGCCCCCGTATAGGAGAAAGGCAGCAGGATGGAGTCCAACAATTTGAAGTTCTGTCAGATTGCTGATCAAGCAGCAGAACAACTTCATACTCTCAGAAAAAAATCTGCAAGTTGGGAGCCTGTAGCATAGCCATCACGAATAGATAGAAAACCCTTCATCAAGCCTGTTTTCCTTATTCTCCTGTTGTACTGTCTTCAAAAGATTTAACTATGAATTGAGGCTGTCCATTGATACTTGATACAACTTCAGAAATGTCTGTAAGTATCTGAAATCTGGATCCTGGTTTGTGGATCAAAAGAGATCCTATGTGATTCATATCTCAAAAAAGCAAAGCACATGAGAGGTCTGAATTAGGAACCAAACCAGGCTCAGCAGCTGCCAAGACTGTGATCTGACTGCAGCTTACATAGAAGCGTAGAATATCCTGAGTTAGAAGGGACCCACAGGAATCACTGAGTCCAACTCCTGGTTCCACACATCACCACCAAAAATCCAAACCTTACGTCTGAGAGCACTGGCTCGAACTCCAGCACTCAGGCTGTGCCCACTGCCCTGTGCAGCCCGTTCCATGCCCACCGCCCTCTGGTGCAGATCCTGTCCCTACCCCCAGCTGCCTCCCCTGACGCAGCTCCATGCCGTTCCCTCGGGCCCCCAGCTGTCACACAGAGCAGAGCTCAGCGCTGCCCTCCATCTCTGTGAGAAGCTGCTCTGGGCTGAGCAAACACAGGGACCCTCAGCTGCTTCTCACACACCTCGCCCTCTGGATGCTTTGCCATCTTCGTAGCCATGCTCTGGATGCTCTCTAACTGCTTTCTGTCCTTTCTGTGCAGGATTACAGGCAACAAAACTAACCTAAAAGATATGTAATATATATATCTGCATATATGCATTCAAAGAATGAATCAAAAGGAGCAACACTTCAACTTCCCCTCATTTAAATATTATTTCAAACATGATTTTTTAACAAAAAAAAAGGGGAGAAACATTTCTACTTAATGGAGGTCCAACTGTACAAACACACTTGCAGTTTGCCAATTTGCATTCTCTTTCCTTAGTTTTCAAAGCAAAACTTTACATTTTAAAATCTAAGCTGAAACACTAAAACGTTGTCTGACTTCACTGAAGTTGACTTCTGGACTACTACCAATATATTGCTACCTTCTGTTCTGTGCCTTAATAAAAATCCATCAGTAAAACAACTGACGCATAGTCTCGTATTCTGACTGAAATGCAACTGTATTAGAAAATAAACTGCACAATTGCCTGCTTTTTTCCTCTATTAAGGTTCATAAGTAAAAAGATGCTGAAAGTCTTGCTTTGATGTTACACAGCATAGAACAGGTTTGGCATTTTGGTTTTGGACACAAATGCTTTACTAAGCAAAAGCACAGCTTTCCTTGCAGTCCCCCCTAGTAGTCACGTTTCATTTGGAAGTGTTAAAATGCTACGTGATCCAAATCTAAGAAATCAAAAGGCAACCACTTCTGTTGCACGTGCAACAACTATTTAAAACCTGAATCTGTCTCTGAAAAGAGAAACCCATCATTCCAACAAGACAAATTTAATTCACCTCTGGAAGCATTTTATCATGACCAACACCACTTCAACTCTTGCATTCATTGTTTTTGAGCTTGACTTTCCAACCTCCATATTCTCTAAATATTATTTTTGCTTTATTTGGTAACTCATATTGATCTCTATATCACTTTCTAGATAATCCCCTCCCCCTTTTTACATGCTATTTGTGCCACAAGGAACAAACCTGCTCCACATAACATAAACTTCAGATTAATTAAATATTGTCTAATAAAGCAGGTCTGTTTCTCTTCTTGAAATATTGTGCCAAATATGGTTTTGATGACTGGATTTTGGTTTTTTTTTTTTGCTGTATTCCACCATCTAGAATTAATAAGTGATACTTTTCAAGGTTCACATGAAGCAACTGAGGAGCAAAAAACATGAGAAATGAACTTGATGAAGGTCACAAGGCACAGATGCTAAGCTCGATGAAGAACCTATGCTTCTGAATCTAGGTCCATGTCAAATGCAGTTGGTGCAGCTACACAAACACACACGCTGTGAATATCCACGAACGAATGCACACAAAGTGAGCTGGTAGGTGAGAAAGTCAGTTACTAAACAGGGAAGTCACGTCTGTTTGCAGGTGTCAAGTTCATGTAAGCTTGCAAAAGCAGGCAGTTCCTTTGAGGAGACGGGACCATGAATGCCTTCAGTAATGCCAAGTTGAGCTCATCCTTTTATGAGATATCAGACAATTCACCAGGTAGATTTCTCCTACACTAACTGTTGCAAAAGCATGAAAGATCATGTCTTCAGAGAATCACAGACAACCAATACCGAGATGCAGTTTTGTACAAACTGTGCTTCATTAGCTCCAGAATTACTCCTGGAAAATGACCTACTTAGGTGAAAGACAAACCTTTTTTTCTTTCTGGAGGTTTTTTGAATAGATGCAGGACATGGCAGAGAACTGGATGTTGAGGCACCAGTTTCACTCTTGCACAAATCATTATTGATGTACTGTGACTACCAATGGCCTCACAACTCAGACAGATGGTGCTGACCTCTTCTTTGAGGCATTTGGAAATACTTCAAGGGTTCTAAGCATGTAGCAGGGAGATTTTTGTTTTCTTAACAAAGTTCCAGGGAATATTTTTTAGATCAGATTCTAAAAAGCAAAAAACAAACAAAAAAAAAATCTATTTCAACCAACTACTGAGTTCATCTAGAAAGCTGCATTTTCTGTGAGGCTATAAAGACCTCTTCTGTCTGACCTTCTGTCCAACGTCTGGGAAGAATTGAACTAAATTATTTTAATTAATATCCGTATAGAAATTATACTTCAAATGAAAAACGGAATACCCAAGGCTTGTCTTTAATATCCCAAAATCATGAATGTTAGTATCAGAAGCCTTAAAATTATTTCCCCAGAAGTTCAACAAAAATCTTTTTTTAACAATATACGTATTGCCCAAGAAGAATATGATTTACAATAATCTTCAGAGAAGGAAGAATAAAACATAGCTAGTGATTTAATCTGCATCATTCAACTGGAATAAATCTGCAATACCTTTTATAAAAATTGATTCTTTCCACTTCAGACTCTTTGTCTCAACAGTTAATACTATATTAGAGCTTATACCTTTGAAAAAAATACTAAAATAACATTTTAGTAGGTTAAGGATGACCATTTTTGAAGCATGCAGACCATTTCTGCAAACTAATGGGTTTAATTAAACATTTGATGAAGTAGTAATAGAATGTCATAGCCTAAGGAAAAAGAATTGCAGCATGATGTGTTCCAAGACAGAAATACAATCTGTGTGTTTCAAAGTCTTTGTGCAGAACCTGTGCTCTTGGGACTGCAACCCAACGGTAATTAACAGGAATTACCCTAAGGAAATAACATGGTGTTGGTCATTAAAGGAATCCCTTCTTCCACTCCCTGCAAAGCTAAGCGACAGATAAGCACCGAGATGTATCTCTAAAGCCGTACACACTGTGCTACAAAATAACAGACTACATGCCATCAGTAAAAGTAGAGATCTTAGTAACAAAGATAACACACCATGATTTACAACCACATACAGGATTTCCTAAATTCAAACTGTTGCTTATTGGTAAAATAAGCTTTTAAAATATGTATGGGTGGTACAATTTTAAGTGCATTGATTCAAAGCTTTAAACACTAAAGCCAGGGAAAAAAACCCAAGGAGTAACTTGGTTTTGTCAGTAAAAAGGTGATGATGTTTTCTATTCCTATTAGAGCGCATTTGCAGAGAAGAAAAGAAAATGGATCTTTATATTGTAATGCTACTTAAAGCAGAGATAACAAATGAAAAAAAAAAAAAAAATCAAACAAAAAACCCACCCAC